GGAGTAAGGGAGAGGGGTAGCCGAGGGGTTCCCCCCCCAAAAAAAAAAGAACAAAAACCAAACAAAAGGCCTTTCTGTTCAGGGCAGTTTGCTGGCACAGGAGCAGTTCGCACTTGCAGGGTGACCCAGGCTGACAAGCCAAGAGCAGAGGTCCCCTCACCAGCTGCCCCACAGAGCCCTTGCACAACCGGCGTTAGTCAGTGGTGCAGCAGATTTCCTAAGGGCTGCCCGCTTTGCAAAACACCCAGAATAAGATGAGAAGTCAGTGCCCAGAGCAGTAGGCTCTGGGAGCTCTGAAATAAGGGTCTGTACAGGAGCCATCCTGGAGCAGCAGTTGTGCAAGAGCTACTCCGGTTAGCGCCCTTGCTGTGGGGATTCAACATGCAGATCTCATGGGGATTATGGACATGAACTGGTAGTGCTTTGAAATTGTTTGGACTGACAGAACTGCATAAATATTCTTAATGCCCCCATTTAACTACTTCTATGATGTGGAAAAAGGATGTGGCTGACAGCATTTCTGAGGGCTTTGCTGTGCACGTGAGCTTTGTTTAAAAAAAAAAAGGCGCCATAAAAATGAAACAATTTCCCAATGGTTTTGTCCTTTTGAGGCCTGAAATAAGGACTTGGTTGCTTCTTACCTGTCAAAGAGTCATCCACAGTTAGTTGTTTTTCTTAGGACGAATCTCTTGGGATAGCCTTCTGCTGTTACACGTTTTCCCCGACCTTGATGTGCGTATTATCACACTTTCAATGTTATGCGTAGAAATAGTCCTCTGACATTGTTTAGGTTTTCACACTGGTTGTGTCATACCAAGTTTAGTCTTAGATTCGTGCAGGACTACTGTATTGTATAAGATAGCAGTAGAACATACCTGCTGCCTCAGGTCAGTCACCCAGGCATTGAAGATATAAAGCAAATGGAGCATAAAGACCAGAGAAAGCTGAAGTTTTCTGTATTTTAAAACAATAATTATTAATAAAATGTTGAGATAAATATGTTCTTATTTTTATAATACACATTTTTATACCTGTACATGTCAGCACAGAGTTCATGTGTGGTGGTTTGTGTGGCATTCTGCATTTCCTTTTATCTCTGACCTTTTGCTCTCACTGGATAATACAAAACTAGTTATTTTTGGGGACATCAATGCTCATTCTTCCTCCATAAGATTATTTATTCTACTTTTACAAATTAAATATTCACTTACCTTCATCTTCAACTTTGAGGGAAGTCAGACAAACTTTTAGACTGTGGAGCAATTCAGAGGTAATCTAGCGGAAAGCAGGTTTTGCATTATTTCTAGTTAAACTAAGCCTGAATAAGCCAGACAAACAAATGTCCTCATATTATTTCAAATTGTCTTTTAACTACACTGAGATTGATTGCGATCATGTGTGCATACTGCATCGAGGCACTGGTTCAGCAAGGTGCCTTTACGTGAGTCACGGTAACCAGCAATTTTGGTTAGCCTTCTCCAGCTGTGGCTCGTGCATGGCGGCCTAAGATAATGTGTTTTAGTATGAAAGAGGGCATAGACTTGGTGAGATGCAACAGCTCAGTTGGCAGATGGTTTAACATATTACCATGTTAAGGCAATCATTTGCAGCTATGTGAACACATCTGCAGCGATCTGTGTAGAGTACACCAACTTGCTTTAGCATCCTGCTGCTTTATAGGCATACCTTACGCAAAGTGGATGCTGCTTTCTCATGCACATAGACCTTCAAACAAAGAAAATGATGAGTGAAAGGTTAATTTAATTCACGTTCACAATAAAGGTGGATAAAGGATTCTAACAGAAATAGTGTTTGAGAGTCAGTAACCTAGGTCATGTTCAGTTGTTATCTTATCACCTACCATAAATGTTATTTATAGTAATAATATAAATGAGCCTGTTCCGGGGGAAAAAAAAAGTCTGGTCAGGAAAAAAAGTAAAGAGTAGCTAGCAATTAAATCCGTCTTCCTGACTAAAAGGCTAGTCAAGTGACAGCTATCACTAAAACCATCCTATGCAGATACTTCCATCTAATACCGGTTTTCTTAAGACTTTATGCCATTTAAAAAAAAAAATAAATCTACATGTATGGCCAAAGGCTTGGGCACGTCACTTCTCACACTAATCTGTCATACCTGAGGTTAAGTGCATGGGGTAACCTTTGTAGCATATGGGTTAATACACAGAAAATATATATTCCAATTAATATTTGGCTTCAGTTGTATCTGCGTACATGCTGGTGGATTTATTTCTTCAATCTTTTTTTTATATTGAACCATGGCAACTTTTGGTTAAGTATAAATGAAACAACAAAGTTGTCTCCAGGTTGGACACTTGCCAGCATAGATTAATTTTATGGCTTAATATCACTGGGTATACTATGTTTATGATGTTATAGCTGTTCCTGTAACTGCTTCATCTTTTCATAAATAAGATACTAATTTCCTGAGTTTAAAGTAACTGGCGACAAAGATACTAGTATCTAATCTGGCTAGCAATCAGCTTGCTAAAACAAGTGATATAATGAATGTGCTGTGGGCTTTATTTGTATTGGTTTGCATAATTTTTAATCACCTTAAAAATATGAGCAATGAGTAGAGAACAAAACACTGAGCAAAAGTCATTGCTTAGGCTGCCATTCTCCAGCCTTAGAAATGAGATCAAAGAGGGTGTTAGGAAAGAAAATAAATGAATCTTCTCTGCTCCTTGAAATGTTCTGTTCATCTTTTATTACTTGGTAGTAAGGATGAATAGAAATCTGGAATTAATTAAATCTTCTAATTAATTAGAAAGATGTAGATGAAGTATTTTGTCAATATGTAAATACCTTTGGGAGAGGGAGAGATTGTTTCAGTTTTCATTTGAAATGGGACAGTTGAGATAGCCATTCTGTAAATCTCCAGGTAATCAACTGCAAGAGAATTAAACCCACAAATTCAATAATGCTTATCATTCCTCTTCACAACTGTTTTTCAGCTTAGACATTTACTGGAGTAATGCTGAGCCCCAACTTTTCTTCTATTTAGTCTTACCCTATCTGCTACCATTAAAATCACACAGAAGAGCACTCGTACAGCAGAAGATCCTCTTCTCTTCATGGTAGATCATAAGAGGTCTTTTACCTACCTATGTCTGTTTGCACAGGTGCTAGTAAATTCCTGCCGTTGTTTGCGTGGCCATTCCCGGAGCAGGACAGCTGCAAGGCAGGCGTTCATCCTCCACCTTGGGAACTGAGATGCAATCATTTACATGGTCTGCACTTGGTGTATGCTGCATCCCAAAATGTTTTGCACAGCTAGACCTATTTATAAGGCAGGATTAAACTTTGAAGAGTTATTTTGTCCTTCCAAAGAACAGTTACTGACTTCAGAACATAGAGACAGAAGGATTCTCTCCCCATTTTCGCTCACATTTTTAATTTCTGCTTTTATTCACAGTGTATTTTATTCATACTTCATTCATGCCAACACACGTTGTCTGTGTTGTTTAAAGGAGAAGTTTGAGAGAGAAATAAAATGAAGAATACTTTGCTTTAACGAGTATGAAAAAAATTAAGATAATTGACCAAGAAAACAGAGAAGATCAAGTAGGGTTTCAACTCTTGTAATTCGATCAACTTCAGTAGGAATTGCAAGTATTCAGCTCTGGCCAAGTTTCAGAAGAGGCAGTGGAAGTGACTCTGCTCACTTAATAAGCTTTGAATTGTGCTGTATAGATTTAACAGTAGTTGATGCACAGCTGCTTTACAGAATAGACAGCCTAGGGAAAGAGATAATTAATATTTTTGGATGAAGCCTATTTTGTGCCGTTCAAGACGTGTCAGTGTATCTACCTACCAGGAACTTTTTGGAAATCAAACATTCTTTGTCTGCAAGTAATTCCATTGAAATATCAGTTGAAAATTAGAACATAAATGTTTTTGAGAGGAAGACATCACTGAAAATAAATCAATTTTCAAAACTATAATACTTTAGAAGTAAGCATACTTTTAACTTGCTTGTGTCTTAGCTTCAGCCACGCTGTGTTTGGAACTATAAAACTGTTTGTGTATATGAAGACCTGTGAACTGCAGATTCAGGTTGAAGGAGGGATGACTGCTAGCCAGGATAAGTGAGTAGTAGTGATCAATAATGTAGGAAATAAAAAAGAAAACATTGTAAAACATCACCTGGTATTTCACAGTTGTGTTAGAGAAAAATGTTTTTCTGTAGAAATCTTTAATAAAGTGAAAACGTGCCAAAAAGGTTTGTACCTTTTAGCACTATCTCTCTGCATACAGTATAGATCCAGAGCAGACACTTACCAAGTTTCACTTACAAGCCTCACGATTTCCAAAGAGTGTAGAAAATACAACAAAAAAGATGAATTCCCTGAAGACTAAAATCAGTGGGGCTGGGAAATATTTTGTCCAATATTGAGATGTGTATAAATATCACAGTGTAAGCAGTGGCTAATATAATGTACTCTAAGAAATGATCTTCCAAACTTACCGAATGACTGAAGTTTTCCCTGTTTGGTTACTTTCTAGTGAAACACCCAAAATCTGGACTCTGACAGCCAAACTCCCTTTTAGAAATACTGTTCTCCCCAGGTAGTGGCATTGGCTTCCATGAGAGTTCAGTAGAAGGGAAAGATATGGCAGAGCAAGGCAAATTCTGGATCCAAGCGATAATTACCAGTAGTTAAGACACTTACTTGGAAATTTATCTACCACATACAAAATTGTGATAGAGAGAAAATGTAGCCTTGAGATTTAGCATTTTCAGTGTTGTCTTAGATTCACAGACAGCAGGAGACGTGTTCATTTTTATTTTTCATTCAGAAAGTATTTGTTTATGAAATGGCAAAATAATGTGAATACACAGTTGCCAGGAGGAGAAAAGATATGGGTAATGTATCTCTTCTGTCTTGGCTCAATTCAGGGACATCTGTGACTTCATAGACAGATCAGCCTTCAAAAAAAGTCTCCTGCAATAGCTTTGCGGCACCCTCTTATCATGTTCCTTGATAACAGCATATGTGTGAAAATCATAGTCTGCTTTTTTTTTTGGTTATAAAGATGAAAAGTCATTTAGAAAATATGAAAATATCAGTGTAAATTTCAGTACTTAAATACTACCCAATAACTACTTCTACGCACATATATTTCCATATATGCATAATCTGAAGCCTGTGACTAATCATATTGAACTCAATGGTATGTTTATGGGATTAAGGCCTCTTTACATCTGGGAATTCAAATTATTTTGGGAATAATTTGATAATTTTTCCTTCTTAAGCTGTATGCAAATTTTTTACATGCTCCTGAGTCGTCATGTGTAGAAAAAAAATTGAAGTAATAGAGATAATCCACAGTTTACGAGCCTTTGGAACACTTGAGGGAGTCCCCCTCTATCTACTGCAGAAACAGCTGTCATTCAGCTGTGAGATCTGGAGCTGTGGAAACTGCGGAGGAAAGGAAAAGTATTATTCATTCCTAGTGTATTAAAAAAAGAGATGCTTTAGATTGAAATTCCTAGGTGAGTTTCTTGATTCCTGATGTCCTGAGAGAGTTATTTTCAAATTAATTGTAATATGCAAACATATTGCTTGTACATGATAGTGATTAATGGTAATTGGAATACTGATGGGAAAAAATTCTTTGAGACTATTTAATGAGCACCTGTGAAATTATGGAGTGCATGCACAAGTATCCCAAGTATTTGCCCGAGAGATTTTCTTTCCACAGCTGTGAGATTTGGGCATCATTATTTAGATGTAAATTGAGAGCCTCTTTCAAAAGGCAAGCAGGTACTTGGTACGAGTTCATGGGACAACTGATGTAAATAATTGCTCAACAGTGTAAATAAGGCGCTTACAATCTGTCTGTATTTTATTATTTATTAGTACTTATTATATTTTATTGATCTTGTTTCAAACGGCGAAGTTAAAAGTAAAATGAGTTTCTTTTTAGAATAAGGAAGAAATACAGCACCATATGTTGTGCCAATGGAGCTCTGTCTGATATAGTGCTAGTACATTCCTTCCAAGGCCTCAAGACATTTTACAACATTTTTAGCACCAATTTCTGCAGTAATGACTAACTTCTGCAGGACAGAAAATTACATTCCTTGGGAGGATATGAAATGATCAGGAAAGGAAAGAGACGACATTATCCAAGAAGCTATTGAGTTAGCAGGATTTTAATGCCGGAACAATTAATATTCTATGAGAAATAAATCAACTGGAACAATATGTGTTAAGCAGAAAACATTCTTGTGGTCTTTTTGTAATATTGAAAATGTAAACACAACATGACAGCAGATACAGTGCGCTAGTTTCTATCAAAACATGGATTTTCTCCTGTATGTTTTTTGGCTGATGTCATTGGAAACATTGCTAATTGATTCTGGTTTTGGTGGGAGAAGTTATGAGCCTAGTGTATAAAAGAAAAGACTAAAACAAAGCTCACTGAAACGCCTAAAGTAAAGTTCCCTGTAACCAATCAGTTTCTTGACTTTGGCAGCCTTTTAATCAATGTTTTAATTTGAGGAACCACTTGCATATAAAGATGAATAGGTAAGCTGACAGTAGAATAGGTGAGTTTTGTTGTGGGTTTTTTTTCTTTTTAGCAATTGAGATTTTAAAAAAAGACTGTGAAAGTATTTGTGTAATTGCTTTTGTGTAGTTTTTTTCTTATGCATCAATTATCCTGTGCCTGTTTTGCAAACGGGTAACTAAAGAAGTAATTAAACCCACAATCAAACAGAAAGGGAATACAATTTCAACTCTCCAGTTTTATTTATGTATTCATTTTTTTGCATGTATTTCTATATATTTTTAATAGCATTGATTAGCTGGACATATTTGTGTTTTCTTCACTTGGTGTCCTTCCTCCAGAACAAGGATCTGAGAATCCCTAAGACCAAGGTCTAACACACTCAATTCAAAAGGAGTCTTTTCAGTATATTGAGCTGAAGCTCAATCAGGAAAGATCCTGATCATGCTTCACTTCTGCTGATTTCCAGAGGTGGTGCTGGTAATTTGTAGGCTTGGGCCTTAAAATGGATGCAGATTATGTTGCTTAGCAGTGTGACTGTGGCTTCACAATGGTGATGGTAACAAATACTTTCCAGGAAAAAAAAACCCAACTTGTAAATAGCCCCATGGTTGCTTTAACAAAATTAGCATAAAGGTAAATGTCGGAGCAAAAATTATTAAGGAAAAACATTTTGATTAAGCTTATTTAATATACTGGCACGGCTACAACATTAATAGTATCTTTTTTTATTCTTTTTCTGTTTCTTCCGATAATGAAGGAATCATCTGCATGCTGCAGGTCATATCTGTGTTCTTAAAGATGCTTTCATGTATGAAAGTCCAACTGAAATAGCAAATCTAGCCTCCGCAGACAAGTTTGATGCAGCCCTGGCCATTCATCTTTATAAAGGAGGCAGACTTCTGCAAGGTAATCCTCTTTCTATTTTGCCATAAAAACACCTCTTTAAAAGGTACTGAAAGAGAAGCGAATGAATACAAATAGTTATAATTGTCTATAAATGTATAAACCTATAGGTAATGTAGTTATTCTGTTTATCCACTTCAACAAACATTCGGAAATGCTGAAAATCTTTCTCTGGGAGAGCTGATCCAGAGAGGAGAGAACTAAATAAATATACTTTTAAAGCACATAGTGCATTTCATAATTAACTTTATGAAACATAGTTACTTTAACTACATTAAGATAAGAGCCTTACATTAACATTAAAATACCTTCAGCAAATGTGTTCTTTCAGAGGACAGTGGCTTGACTAAGTATAGCTGAGGTCAAATGAAGAAAGCAGAGAGGCTGATTTGATTTTTCTGCTCAAAAATGAGTCAGGGTTTTATGGACATGAAATAACTTTGAGATGTTGTTCACGCCAGCTAAACTGTAGGAGACAGGATGTTATCAGACAAATAATAACATTTTCTATTGTATCTAGCCATGTAAACCAAAATTTAGCTTGTCGTTAATGATACACTAGAAGCACTGGCTTTCAAAATTACAGATACTGTCACCTACTGAAATTGCAAGTGTGTATCCATTTTTGAGATCACATTTGTATTGTACAAATCTATTCACTTGGACAAAGGTACATAATTTGATACTTTCATCAGATCTCAGTATAAGTTGTGTTGTGCTAGTTTTCAGACTTCAGAAGTCCCCCTGCAATTTGTGCTGGTGGGTTTTCAGAAAGCCTGAATTATGTCTGGCATACTTGTGTCTCTTTTGTTACAATGGAGCTCTGATTTCACTAGGGATCCTAGAATACCAATAAAAAAATAATTCTGTAAGATGAGCTCTACTAACATATGTATTAAGACTTCTCTTGTTGGAATATAGAGATGATTGTTTTTGTGACAAGACCTGGAATTGTTTTGGAGGAGGCTTATGGAAGGTCTTAGAACTTTCTCTTTTTTTTGCTAAGGAACAAAAAATAAGGTTGGATTTTAAATGTTTACTGTAAAACTTTATTGCAGTTTTGACTTGCATAGCACTGCCCGAATGCTGTTGCTATTAGCTTTTCAAAATCCCAAGTGATCTACAAAGCCTGATACTTGAATGATTTACAAAAGCTCAGTAATTTAAATAAGTCACACTGTTCCAAAAAGCATCTGCAATAACTGAAAGAAAAATAAAACAGAAATCTGTGAAAAGCAAGACAGTAAGTAGTATGATTGCTGAGATGATACTAGTCAAAGTGTACCCAAGTGATACAAAGCCTGATACTTGAATGATTTACAAAAGCTCAGTAATTTAAATAAGTCACAGTGTTCCAAAAAGCATCTGCAATAACTGAAAGAAAAATAAAACAGAAATCTGTGAAAAGCAAGACAGTAAGTAGTATGATTGCTGAGATGATACTAGTCAAAGTGTAAAAGTTATTGTAGACTTCTTGAAGGAAAAAAGTGATTCAGAGGACATTCCTGATTCTTGTAACATTTAATCTTTCCATACCCTATATTAAGAAATACCTTAAAGAAATTTAGCGATTACAGTCATACTACCATTACTACCATACTACCAATCTTTTGGGCCTCATCCTGGAAACTTTGTTTACATGATTGGGGATGTATGATCAACACATGTAATAGATGGCATAATAATTATTTACTTTTTTATTTATTAGAAAGGCAGTATATATTTTATATTGTATTGCAGAAAGTCAGTCTCTTGAAGATTAGTGCTGTGGTGCTTTGATAGCGCACATTAATTCTCTTCACCTACAAACATTAGAGTATAGTATCTAAAAATGCGAAGGAGTCTTTAAGTAGCCAGAATGGCAATTAGTCTTTCATTCTTTTTGTTTGTTCTTTCATTTAGTAATGAGGAAATTAGCAATGCTAATAAATCCTCATCTTACAACTCACTTAACTTTCAAATATAAATGTGAAACATATAGTATGTTTTCTGTCTTTATCAACATATTTATTTCATTCCTCATTTTCTTTAAGATTTCCTTATTTGCTTGTTTTTAACCATGAATTTTAATTATGAGAGTTCACTGAATTTAACCTAAAATTTCCCCCCCACCCCCTAAGACACTGTGGGTAGCTGTAGAAAGTGTCACCGATAGTTCTCACAGCCACGAACGTTCAAGGTCAGTTATGTTATCTCTCAAAAGGAAGAACCTCCATCAACACAGTAACCTCTAGCACCCTGCTCGTTGGTCCACTGCTGAGGACAGTGTTGTCTACTGAATCCTTGATCCCTCTCCCCTTCCATCTGATAGCAAAAGGGAAAAATCAAAGCATATTTTCTGCCTTTCTTGGTACACAGTGTGTAGTGGCAATACAGCCTAACTGCTTATTCTTGTTCACAGGCAGAAGGAAACCTTGGCTTCATCTGTTACAGCTAACAGAACTCTGCAAAATCCACAAAACCGATCACCTTAATGGCAGGTTTTGTAGGCTGTCTTACTGGAGACTGTTTCTTTTGCAAAACTGCAGTCCCATTTGGAATTTAAAATTGTGTTCTGCATGTAGTAATTAGCCACCATGAGGTTGTTATTTGTTAGCTTAATGTGGTGTAAAACTGACCACTGTTTTCAGTGCTGAAACAATCAACAGTAAACATTATTGCCTGCCATCTTGATTAGTTAAAGGGGAGAACATTACTGGTAACTTGTAAGTTACTAAAAATAACCTGACTCCAGATTAGAAAGAAATCTTACACTGATATTTTCATCTAAGTAGTCTCTGGCCTTGTCCATCCATGTAAATCCAGCCACTGTTAGCATAGAAGTGCTACTCTACCCTGTTTTGGTGGCAAATATACCCTTATGCAAATATGAATTTATACTGATGCTGTGTATCAAAACTAGGTTTTTACCAGAGTGCAGACACCACTAGGATAGATATGCTTTTGTTGATACTCTAAAATTTGAATGTTGATAAGGTCTTGTGCACAGACTGTCCCACAGCCAGCATGCCTTCCTCTGCTCTTACTGTTCTGAGCACTGTAAGGCATTCTAAAACAACTTTTGTAACTTGGGTGATCACAGGTGGTCTTGGAACAACCAACTATAAACACAGATCCATCTTTTGGGATGGAATTAGGCAAAAAAATATTTTTGTTGCAGGTTCACATATACTGCCTTATTTAATTGGTGACCATTTCCAATGGTGTGGCTCCATCTACATTTTCTGTAGCAGTAAAATTGTCTTCGGAAGTCAATATTTAAAAAAAAAAATAAAAAATCAGTAACCAACTTTGCAGGATGGTCGCCCAAACCACTGTATTGGAATGCTTGAGGGGGCAGTGAATGAGTGGCTGAGGCTAGGTACCTGGGACCAAACTTTGCAATACTGCATCTTACTAAAATGTGAATAACATTGAACATATATATATATGCATGCCATTTGGTGGGCTGCCAAGTGTAGAAACTATATATATATATATGCATGTCATTTGGTGGGCTGCCAAGTGTAGAAACTAATTGATTGTGTTTACTAAGCATGGAAAAGGCAAAGAAAATCTCATAGCTACACAACAGACTGACATGCTGTGAAAGTACATAGTTACTGTATGGGTTTTTTCAGTGCCAAAACCGTAAAAATTCAGGTTTCTCCAGGTTTCTTTTTCAAAGGCTTTTGCTTACATATGTGATACAGTATTATCAATATACTTTTTCACTCTTAACGTCCCCTTCTAGTCACTACTTTGACATGTTGGTTAACTTCTCATTGTAGTCATTGCTTTGCAGGTAGCAGAATTCCTTTTGGAATCATCTTTGGTGGGACAGATGTAAATGAAGATACCAAATGTGAAGAGAAACATCGGGTAATGGGAGCAGTGCTAGGAGAAGCCAGGTAAAAGCATGTGTGGAAGGTTTATGACAGGAAATCGCATTTTTGTAATGGCAGATCTTTTAGGAACTGTTCCATAAATGGTTGGAATCACTGGGAGATGTGTAGGCCAGCGGACAAAGCATAGACTACTTGAAATCCCTGTGATCACTACATATTATTTTATGATTCAGTGATGGAGGTAGAACAGTTTCTTCATGAATAGACTGCCTACAGACTATATTTTATTTTATATTTCCTCTGTTACAATCATTTTATCGTATTTGTCCATGTAAGAGTTGGCAGAGGTAGTGCTGAAACTTGGTCTCTTGGGCTGTGAATTTTAAAAAGACTCAAATCCCATTAAAAGCTAATGAAATCTGTGCTCTTGCTAACTAATCCTGTCCTTTGTCTACTGAATCATAACTATTTCCTAGAATAATAGAATTATGCATGTGATGAGGTTATAAAATTCTAAGGCAGGTAAAAGAAATGAGAAGAATAATAGCAATAATACTTAACCTGGGATTTGGCAGCATATTGCTCTGTAGAATAATCTACTTTATGAGTAGACATTATAAAGACAGCCTTTGATGGTTAGTGTAATTGTGGACTGTAGCAACTTGACTGGTTTATTTGACATGTTTGTAATGGATACAATTTTATGCAATCAAGTTCTAATTTCTTATCAAAATTATTTTAGACTGTTTATATTTGCAGAGATTTAGGTAAAGAAATGCACATCTAAGTATCTCCAACAATATCCATACAGTTCTCATTTGTACAGAACTATCCTGGCCATGAAATGACTGATATTTGGTATTTAAATAGTGAATCTTTAGTAGTGGAGGTGGTTAATGGTGAGTTAGTGGTGGAGGTATGATTATTTAAATAGCAAATCTTTGTTAGCGGTGGAGGTATGAATATTCTCATTAAATCTTACTGTAGTAATAGTATTAGCCTAAACAAGGTTGGCCATTTGCCAAGGCCCTGTGCCAGAAGTGCTAAATGTTGCTCCAAGTTGTTTTTTTTAAAACCTCTGTTTCTTAGTAAATTCTGGTTTATGTTACATATATTCAAATATATAAAATGTTCTGTATTGGAACTAACATTTTATGCATTAAGTGCTACCTGTACATACAGACCAAGGTGCCCAGCAGTTTGACTTAAGTGAAACGACAACTGAAAATAACTGGCATTTGTTCTGTTGCATCACAGAATCAAACCTGTTCTCGGAGGCCTCGCATTTAGTTTGTGGACCAAGTGCTTGATTGAAAGGCAGGTGACTCAAGTATAAAGAGCTTTAATTCTTTTTTCCTGCTAATGTGATCCTTTCTCTAGATACATGAACAAAGAAGCAGAGATGGAAAAGTCTTTAAGCAAATTCTCTCAGTTTTTTAGGTGAATTGACAAGGGAATATTTTCAGGGTTTTTTAAAGTCTGGAAAAGTCCCAGTGACATGTCAGTGTAGTCATCAAATGTAGTTCAAGAACTGATCAGAAATCAGAGAAAATGACTAAAAACCAAAAAGGTTTTTGCAGCATTTCTCATTGTTTCAACATCCCCAGAAAAGAAGTTTCCTTCTGCTTGATCCAAAGATCTGTTGACTTCAACAGTGTTTGATCATGTCCATGATGGGCCATTAAGCCCTTTTCTTATTGGAAATGAAAGCATTTTATGTATGTAAAGCTTCCAGTGGATGAAATTAATTTAATAGATAGCTTAAGCCTTATCAAGATAGAGGCTAAGGTTGTCACTTCAGGTGTAACCAGTGTAATAGCTCTCTGATGGCAGGGATGGCTCTGCTGCTACCTCTTTTCCTCTCCTTTTCCTTTCTCATGCTTGTGGCTGTCTGATCGACCCTTCCTTGTGCCAGGATTGGACTGCTTTCTGAGCAGGTTTAACTCACTAAATGGCATAAAATTGGCGCTTTTTTCCTGGGTTAGTTTTCTACCCCTTTAATAAGTAAAGTCAGCTTGTGGAAGGGTACGAGAAGGATGTCTTTTTGGTGGCAGTAAGTTGCTACAGCAGGTCACTCAGCCTCATGGAACTATACTGGGACTGAGCTTCTGGTGACTTGAGTACTCTGAAGAGTCATCACTCCAGAATTGAGCTCTGCATAAGCGAAGGGGTCCCTGAGTGTACAAGGTGAGATAAAATTTAAGCATCTGGAACGTCTTATCAGATCCAGTGGTACTGCTTGCATACTTACTCTAGAAGAGCTTAAATTCCTTGCTGAACAGAGCTTGCTCAGGATGCTATCTCTGTTCATTCATCACAGCGTTCTAGCTAAGACAGATAACTACAGTGGTTCAGATACGGCAGCATGGATTTTGGTTCATGTTAGCAATGAGGAAATGCATACAGAATCAGGAGCAGGCTTATATCTTGTAGTTTTATCTTTGCTAATACCACTGTATGTTCTAGCTATTATTGGCTAACTTAACGCTGGCATAGATACGCTGTTCTGTCTAGAGTGCCCTATAAAATGTGGTAGGTAAACAGATTTTAAAGACAGCACTTAATCACGTTCATTGAAAAATCATTAGGGCATGTTCTTACATCTTAGTGTGACTTGTAGTTGAAAAGCAACTTAAGGCCCCATTCGAGACAAAATTTATATACTTGTATACATTTCTTATCAAATAATCAGAAGTTATTTTTTAAACAGGTCTGAAGGAAGAGAAAAAAGGTATCTAATGTGTCAGTTAAATTTCAGCACTGTGCAAAATGAAAAGTATATAAAAACAGAATCTCTGAGTGTGTCCATTTGATGCAGTTCTGTGTTTAAAATATGATCTGTCACAAATAAAGCTAATATAGCTTATGCAAAAACTGCTTTACTGAATGTTTTTTTTAATGATAATTAAGTTAGGAACTTGAAGTATAGTTTAGTAGCTTGGATTTCCTATGACGCTTCAAAGTATGTTACTGCATCCTTATGCAGTTCATAATATTTTCTCTGCTACGGGAAAAGTAATTCAGTTTTCTAAAAGTTATTCTGAATGGATCTCTTCTCCAGTATTATCACCAGTATTATTCATTGCATAGTTATTAAAAGAAACATTGATTTTTTTTTTTTTTCCTTTATTGATTGCAGGGTTCTAAGCAGAAAGTATCAGGAATTGTAGATTACTTGTCCAGTACCATATACCACCACATTCCATAAAACAAAGTATTGAACACTGTCTAGCTTTATAATGAGTGTTTCATTTTTAATCAAATTCCTCTAAATGGTGGTTATACTCCTCTAGGGTATTTTTTCTATTGAACAGTGTTTTGTAGACCTTGGAGCAACAGTTTTTTCTGCTTGTTAATGTGATGTATTGAAAGTATAATTGCAAAAACTGGAAAGGGAGCATGTGCAACTTGACAAAACAAGCATTTGCAAAGGCTTTAATAACCTTAAAGCTGTCAAGTTGTGTATGTGAAATTCATTGTAGTACCATAAAGCAGATACTACAAAACAAATGTATGGGGATAAGGTTTGTTTCAACAAACAAAAGTAGGAGTTATAATTCAGCATTTATGTGACTTCTCATGAATGACTGTAATTTCATGTCCTCAAATTATAACATAACATCTCCAATGGAAAAGCACTGTTCTGGGTGTGACTTAGCAATGTGCTTCAACTCTAACCATTGAGATGTCATAGGGTTGGCTCAGGACAGAAACACTACATTAATGCTATGGAAGAGAAACACCGAATCATAAGTGTAATATGTGATAACCTCTGTTTTATGTTCAGTATCTTTAAAAGCAATTAAAAAAAAGGAATCTTGCTGAGCAGCCACATTATGTCTTATATGAAGGAGGCGTTCAAATATTTTTATTCCACAGGACTGATAGTCTTCAGAAATGGTCCCATTTGTGGTTCCAGTTAAGTTCCACTAAAGTTCCATTTAAGAACAATTAAAGCATGTGTTTATATTTCATCACAACTTAAAAGCTACATTAAAGCCCAGCATGTTCTTAAGATCTCTTCTGAACAGGGATTCTTTATTAACTCTGACTCCATAAAAATATCTCATATGACTTCTTGGTATTACACCAAGCTCCCAGTAAGAATAACTTGTTTATCTAGTGTGTTAAGGAATCAGACTTCTGTGGCTGAAGTCTCTCTGTAATGAGACACCCCAAAATGAAAACTGTTCATATCAATGCTGCTTTTAAATGGTCTCTGACATAACCCTTCTGTTATGTGGAATGATAGCGTACTACATACATTTCTCAAAGGCACACAAGTAGAAGTCCGGATGAGCCATTATAAAAAGCCGTAAGGGAAAAAGTGGAAGTAAGCTTGGGAATAGAATTCTCTTCTCCCTCCCAAATGAAAACCCTAGCCATTAAGTTATTCAAGTACACTTTTGATTGCTTGTTCTTACTTTGGCATTATGATTTATATGCATTACAGAGGAGGAGTAGATGGTGTTCATATACTATTCTACAGTTCATTCATTTAAATGCCCTTCTCATAACAAAGAAAAGTCTTAACCAGAGAACGGTCAAAATGCCCTTCTATCAGTATTATGTCTGGCTAGTGTAACGGTCTCTTTGCCTGAAACGATGACTGTGGTAAATCTCATTTCTGGGCACCCAATTCTTCCCTATTATAAAGGAATATCAGGTGTCTGCAAATTTCATCTCCACTGCAGATGCTTAACATTCAGAGCTACAGAGCTCTGTGTCCCAAGTCTGTGAGATTCCAGAGTTGAAGCCCAGTCACTGGCTCATCTTTCTTCTTCTTTAGTTTATTTAATTCTGTTATTTTTCCTGAAGAATAACATTTTGGTCTCTCAGATTTTTGTTAGTCATTGACAGCTTTGACTACCTAGAAATAAGGAGAGAACATTGGGGAAAGGTTTAAAAAAATCCATCTGCTCATTTGAATTAAACTCAGTTGTAATGAGTTGCAAATAGTGGGACTGGGTATTGTCAAACAACATTAGCATGAAAGTAACTGGATTGAAGATCCTTCTTACCTAGCTTTCTGGTTGTGAAGAGGGCTGTTGCAAATTGCAATGATGTAGAAACAGGAAATGCTAACTCACTACTGCAGCTGTATATATTAATCTACATAAACTGGGGGATGGTCCCATTATTTGGGTTTTCTCTTAATTTAAGAAATCCTCACTTTAACTCCCCAAGAGCTCTAAGTTGTAAAGCCTGATGAGATACCATTTGTTTAACCAGTATTTTCTGGTAAAACAAATAGAAAGCCTGCTTTCTGTCTTTCCATCTGTAATGATTTTTATAAGCCTCTGCTCTTCGTTCTTATAAAGATTTTTTCTGAAGTACTTTTCTGTTTTTATGTTTAAACACTTTAAGCAGATGATCCCAACTATTTTTGTCCGTTTAACTAGGTTTGCAGTGGCTTTCACGGTGAAAATGAAGGAACTGGCAGCAGCAGAGTGGGTATGTTTGCATGATGATGGTGATGCTTATAGTATTAGCAACTATGCATTCTCCTAAAATGTTTTCTAAATAATGCTAGAGAATTGCAATAATCTTCATATTCTCTATTTCTTTCAGAGAAAGCATTTCATATTTATGTACTTCGACAGGTCAAATAGATCTGGCATTTAAAAGCTGTTTAGTATTTGAAAAGAGTATACAGCAGTTTAGGAAGTGCTTCTCTGTAACATTTAAAAATAGTCATTGCTGTTGTTATCGAGTCTCTCTTGATGCCATATGCATATATTGTTTCTTTTTGCATAATTTAATAAACTTCTTTATGTTGCCAAAATTCCACTAAACAGCTTTACTTAAAAATACATAATTTGAAAATACTTGTTTTGCCAAAACTGGAAATAGAATTAACTTCTTAAGGTGAACTGCAGAGGTAAACTTGAAGCTATGCTAAGCCCAGCAATATGTGATATACAGCCCTGTTGACCAGGCCTTGAGGGATATGTAGCACAAAAATAGCACTTAACTTTCTTAAAACTCATCTCTCCTTCTGAAAACAAAACAAAACACACTGCTGAATGATACATGGAAAAATACTGAATAAAATTATTTTCATCCAACAGTATAGTGGTTAAATACATTTGGCGATGTATTTGAAGGAGATCATTTAGCCAGCAAAAAACTGGGAGTAATAATGGTTCGTTCTTTTTCTCTTCATTTAGTAGGTACCATTGCATCTGCTCTATTGCAAGTCTACTTCAGACATTCAGTGCAATTATTTTTAGTATCTGATGCTCCTGGTTGAAAATAGACTGGGTCAACATTTTCACCCTTACGTGGTTGAGTTGATGGCAGACTGCCAGTGGAGAAAATTGAGACAAATCCTTGAAGTAGACAGTGCTCAACCCTGATTTCTGAAGAGCGGAGGAAGACCATAAAGAGCTGCCAGTCATTTGAGTACAAGAAGTGCTTTTGGATAGTGTCAGGCTGCACTGGTGACCTGTGAAAAACTCCACAACAGGCAGCAGGGCTTGCTGATCCAGCTTGTTAGCCCAGCTGATTTTCTGTGCAAGGTTAGCTTTCCAACTAACTTGTTGGCTAAAGACTTGTACTGGATCACAGAGAGGTGCAATGAGCACCAGATCCAGTGAAGGGTAAGTGGTAACTGTTTGGCTGACAGTAAGGGGCAACACACTGGGATAAAAAGAGGAAGGCAGGACCACCCTCTTCCAGCTGCAGCGAGCTGTTAGCTCTACTCACCTCATCCCGTAAAACATCAGCTGAAGCTGAACAATAAATGCAAGAAGTAGAAACTAACTGCTTGGTATCTCTTCAGTTCTAATTTGCATCATAATATAATCATTAATACACCCTTGCCTAAAAAAAATTGCTTAGAGTGGAACTTGCACAACAGAACAATTTGATATTCAATACTTTGTTTCAGCGTGAATTGATTTTTTTATCTATTTGCATTAAAAGATACATGAGCAGACATAGGATCTGGTATTTACATTACAAATATAACTTGGTTTTAATAGTTACCACAATGAATTCCTGATGGGTAAACATGAAAGGGCACAGCTTCTGCCATAGATCTTATGCAAGAAAAAGACAAAAGTAACAGTGTATAAGGAGGAGAAACAAACTCGAACTTTGAAATCCTTTTGAAATCAGCACCTCAAATGTTTTTAAGTACTTAACTTCGATTGATTTTACCTAAACACCTTTATGCTCCGGGCCTCTGAGACTCACTCAGTGTTTTGGAGAAGGTCTGTGGCAGACAGTGAATTGGAGGCAAGTCTGTCAAGTCCTAAACTGAAATACCACCTGCTGACCTGTGTCTTAAATGCTGGAGTTTTGAGTTCTTTTTCTAGCTGTATCTTCATATAAAGGGTGCGACCAAATGCCACACATTCACTTTCAAACAGTGAAGAGTATGAATACATCTTTCCATACCTAGGTCACAGATATTAACACTTTTTACATATTAACTCACAGTAATGTGAACTGCTTTATTCCTCTAATGTGTGCTTTATGAGTTAGACAGTCAATTAAGAATTTAAATTACGAACATGTAAGCAATTGCACTGTGCTCAAGGGCTGTTTCTTCCAACAAATTCTTTTCTATTACATTGGATAAATTATCTTTAATTATGAAGTACATAATACAGCATTTGTAATAATCTGTATTCCAGGTGTGTTTGAAATACTGTAAAAGATCTTGTGCTTATGGTCAGTGTTTTATTTCAGTAGTGTAAAACTAGTGCATAAGAATTACCTAAGCCAGTTTTATTAGCATTCATTTCATTTTTCCATTCTCCTCAAGACCATTTAAAATAAAGAAGATAACAGAAAATTGATCTATAAAGTGTGAATACATCTGTACGCCCTGTTACACAGTATTCCTGCTATTTTCTTCTTGATGATCCAAGCCCTGGCAGGATTATGTTTACTCACCGTAAGGCATTAAAGGTCCAGCAGAGCATGAAACCAGATGCTTAACTTAAGCTTATTTTTGAAACTCAGTGGTTTTAGGGAACTAAAAGCCTATCTTCACCCACCAGAGTTTGAGGCAGAACTGTGCAGTATGTCAGCTATGGAGGCAAGGCTGGTTTAAGCTGCCCTCTGCCCCCATCTGCTTTTTTCCACCTTCTGTTTTGCTGCATCTATGTCCTAGCACTGAATTTCAGCTATCCCACTTGTCCTGCAATTTTAAATTCTGAAGTTGGCCTGCAGCTTGCAATGCCATCTCCATTGTTTGCAAGGCTTTTTCATATCCGATATAATTTAAAATGCTACTTATTCATAGGTAAGAGAAGGACCAAGAAATGTTAAGTAATAAAATAACCTATTAAACCATTTTTTCTTATTTTTAAATGCTCTGAACACAAAAGTTCATATAGCTTTTGAAAGATAAAGTCCATAGAATATTCTTAGTCTTCCACTGTGGCGTAAACAGCGTTATTTTTACCCCACTTCATTTATGTATGGATTTGCAGCTTGTTCATGTAGTTTTTGTGACTTAGTTAATTCACTCTGATTTTCCGAAACCGCATCCTTCCCATCTGTGAACCGCTTGTTGATGACTATTCACTTTTTTTATGACCTCTTTTCTGTCCATTTCTTTTTCCAGTTCATTTTTAGTAACTAAAATAGACTGTTATGACTGGGCAGTGGACTGGAGGGACAGTCACATGGGAGTGATAGGGGAAAAACAAAAATGTTTGCAGCTAAAAAAACCCGAAATCATTTCCTTGGCTTCTTATTTCCTGAGCTGACTGGTTCAGGAATTGGTTACTTAACAGTTTGTTTCTACATTAATTCTTGTTCTCCTAATACAGGTTCTCTTCCTGCCTTCAAGTTATTATCCTGCAGGTGTGATTTCACAATCTGCTAAGGATGGGGTGGGGGTGGGAGAGGAGAAGGGAAGACTAATGTGCAGCTTGACATGATGCACTGGTATACGTGATGCTCTGCCGTGGTTAACTCTGGCTGTCTTATTCCAACAACTTTCCACATTAAGAGGCAAGCCTGCACAGCAATATTTAGCTTGAAGAGTTCAGCAGTGTACCAGCAACGTGTCCCACCGTTCAAAAGTGGAATGGTTGGAGGCGCAATCTAGTAGTCCTTTTTCCATCTGCACTTTAGAAGGAGCCATGGCAGGCAGATAGTCAGTGACTCAGACAGTCGCAGCCTGCTAGGACTGTGCCTCTCTACGTAAGGAAATTGGCACCGAAAAGGAGGCAAGATTTAGTCTCAAGATAGGAAGGACTGGTGCTCTAAAGAAGGTTGTTTGTTTCTGGACGCTATGATGCTAAATGAAGTGATAGCATTAATGGAACTGCTTGAAAGAATATAATTTCAAACTGAAGCAGTCAAGGTAATATTGAGCAAATCTATTGGAGACTACGCCAGTTGAGTAATACCTTCCTTAGCTTACTCCTCTACAGGCATTACAACCAGCGCTTTCAAAACAACTAGGAATTGTCTGAACAGACAGCTTTGCACAAACACTTTGAGCTCAAAAACCTCTGCTTGTTTGCTGGGGAGTGGTGGTGTTGGTTTTTTGGTTTTGGGTTTTTTTCAGTGTGGAAAGATCCCAAGAATATTTCGATATTTTTGTGAAAAAAAAGTATTTCACAAATTCATGGTTGGAATTATAGAAAGATATATTAAATAAGAACTTGCTTATTTAATCACCTAAATTAAATAACTAGCATAGTAGCACTTCAGGAGTAACTTTGGAAATGTAGTAATTACCTCTTTTACTATAGCTATTTTAAAATAATTTCTTATGCAATTTTTATTTGGGAATATTCTGCAATAACTACTGCTGGCCAGTTTTCCTGTATAGACAAGTCTACATATATTTGACAGCAATTTTTGAAAAGGCTAGAGGTAAATGGGGGTTGTTTCATGCCTGATGTGTTTAAAAATTCTATTATGGATAAATGTAGACTGTGGTTTCAAAATCGGCTATAATTTTTCTTTCAAGACTAGCATTTTTTGGGAACTAGGGCTGTTCTGTAGTTGCAAATCTTTCTATTGTAGGGAAATATTTTAATTTTCTATGCAATAAGCAGGTTAATGATTATGAGAAAGTATACAGAGATAAACTAAAAATATGTTTGTACTAACTTGGTAATCGTGTTAATTGCTACTGTAAATGTTCATAGTAAATGTAATTTAAATTGCTGACTGTTGGCTTTTGGTGTTACTTAAATGTATCTTTCTGATAGTCTGTTGATTTTTAATAGTCAAAAGAAAATCATGCTGATGTCCATTTTGTTGTATTAGTTGGGGTTTTTTTGAAGATTGAACAGATCTTTTATGGTGAACTATGAAAGTTACTTTTCTTCTCCTTCTCTTTAAAGCCCGATGCTAGGAAGAAAATACATGTCCAAGCTCAAGGTGAGAGTTTTGAAATACTGACTAAAGCATTCAATTTATTTGAGTCATGTGTCTAGTACCTATATGTTTATATATCTACCTTCTTTGCCCTGGAAATATTTTGCTGAAACGGGTATGGGGTTTGAAGTCCTGGCTCCACTGAAGTTGAGCTTTTTGCCATTGACTTTAATTGAGGCAGTATTTCAGTCTCTTAGCCTAAATTTTCAACTCATTTGATGCTTTTAAAAAAAAATGTTGTCCCACATACCTTACAGTAGGAATCTGAAAGATAAGGTAACACCAAGCTTTCTCCAAAGCATACGGAAGTTAGTAGCCGAGGAGTAGACCCTCAGTCTGATTTCGCACAAGATGCTGAGTGGTTATTCTCTGAAGCTCCAAATTCCTTTAAATGCTTTGAGTTCCCTGAGGGAACTCAGAATAATGACACCCAACAAGTGTCTAATCCAAAGTATATTACTTAAGTGAGTAGTCTAGGGAACACTCAACTCAGCATTTTAGATGTGATTACTTAAGCTACAGCTCCTGATTTTATTTATCTAAAAATAACTGTCTACAGCTTCCAAAACTCATTCCATTTTGTGTATTTCACTTTCAAAGAAAATAAAATTATTTTCAAAACTATTACATTGAAATAATTCATTGTGAGGTCTATTTAGCCCATATTTAGTCTATATTTAAGCCCCTTGTGAGGTAATAGTTAACTAAGAGATTAAATAAATTAATAACATAGTTTCATTAGTAAAATAATTAATCTTTAACATAAGGCAAACCAAGTAAATTAATATCCAGTTTAGAATAATATTTAATTTTGATATAAATTTAATTTATTTTCTTTGTCTTATGTTAAGGACTTGGGTCTCAACTGACCTGTATCTGTTTTGGAATAATACGCTCCCTCAGATAATATTATCTTGTATGTCGATTTTAAAAGGCCAATTTTAGCATGATGTAAGTGAGCTTAATTCCCTGGGTTGCTAAAGAAGTTAATACACTGCGTGATTGTGCAAAATTTTCAATTTGATTTCAATCTGATGACTACGGAAGGACTGTGCAAACAACCTGACATTGTTGGGAAGAGCTTGAGGTGGGAACAGCTGTGTACGGAATTCAGTGTGCTTGACAGAAATACTGTTTTCTTAGGGCAAGACTTCTAGAACCGTAGTTCAGCCATCCAGGGACCAAACATGTTGTGTTTCTCTTTTTTTCAATACAGGAATTAAGACTACACCCAGTGAAACATTTGACTGGTATAGATTTCTACAAAATGCAGGTAAAACTCACTTTTTTTCTGTATCCACTATATTTATTTGTAGTAGATGTCAACGATGAAAGAAATTTAGAATGTGAAGGTTAACTGATTATGTAATAAAATAACTTAATGATATGAAAAATGAAAAACTCTTAATATTAGATTCAGGCAGAATATTGATCAGATTAGTCTGGTTAGTAAACTACCCAGACTGCCTCCAGATTTCTGGTCTGTCCAGGGCTGAATTGCACCAAAAGATAAAATGGATGACATACGGATCAATGTCCCTTAGAAGGTAAGTTAGGCGAAAGCACCAATACCTGAGCATGCTCTGCTTTACAGCTGTGTGATAGAAACTGTGGGTGTCTTTTGCAGGAGAGCAGGTGAGGTGAAGAAGTGGTGAAGAAGGGAAATGTCTGTTGATGTTTTGTTATTTGGTCTTCATCTAGAGCCTGTCTCTGTTTTCACCAAAGTAATGACATGTAAGGCAGATGACCTAATTTAAAGTCACCTGATCCTGGTAATGCTTTAGTTGCTACAGCTGCCTTTCCCCAAAAAAAGAATTTGTAGGCATTTTACTGTGGTAAAAATATTTCAGTATTATATTCATCAATCTGATCTCTGATAGTACAGCTGTTCCCTCTGTTACGAATGAATCCTCACTATTCAATTGCTTTATCACGTCAGTAAATGTGTGCCATTATTCAAAACCGGTGTCCAATTTTAAATTGAGCATTGTGAGGTTATTTTGTTCTCAGTAAATCACGGCACACAAGCACAGTGCCACTAAGATTAATAATTTTCTGAAGTAAAATGATTTGTCACTTGCTAGCACAGCCTTAGTGTTGATTGGATCTCATGTCCAACCATTTTATGATTAAAAGAGCAGTCAACAGATTGAGGAGGGGGAAGGTCCCCCTAAAGTGCATTTCATCTAATATATTAGAGACAGTTTTTTGCCTGATGTGTACTAATGCAAAAGTGCAAAATAATTCATAATGTACATGAAAAGCAAACTAAAATGTGACTCTAACATCTGTGCCTGTTAAATAATAACTTGAAATCTGGCATCAGATTATTCAGTATTGTTTTTTACGACTGTTTCATCTCATTTATCTTACCAGTCTTGTCTCTATTTCCATCTCTGGTGGCAAGCTACAATTTCCACTTCTTTTAATATTGCGCATGGAGGCAGGTTTTTTGGCTGTACCTTTGCGCTTACCACAGACTAATTAGGAGTTCCCACTGAATTGCTTTTCTGGGGATTTGCAGTTTTAAAGTGTTTAAAATTCTACTAAACTTGGAGCAATCAGTAGAAAACTATCAAGAATAGAAGGCAGTTTTGCTCAGAAGAATACCATTTTGATAGTGTAGGCTTGCACAGTGAAGTGCACTTGAAAAGATCCCTAGCTTTTATGCAGATAAAGCTGTCCAATCTCATTCACCTCATGGCATTTATGATCCTTTTTTTTTAAAAAAGACTTTTTTTATGAAGTTCTATTCCATATCTAAAGGCATGTAATGATTTTTGGGGGAAATATTTCTCCAGATAACTCTTGCCTCTATCTTTAGCAGTATCCTTGAACATTTGTCAAATTCAGGATTCCCAGGACTGAATGTAAAGAAATAGCACATGCCCTGCAATGCGAATTATAATACATTTGAGGCATCAGTGTTAAACATCCCTGGTGATCAGGCCATACATTGTCAAGTTATTCTTTAAAATGAAATAGGGTCTTCAGAATGTTTCAAGACTTTTTTTAATAGAACAGACTTCTTAGGAATATTCTTTGTACTGATTTTTTTTCAGTCATAGAAAAGCCTTAACACTTGACTCATGTTAAATATAACACCGGTACATAAATAGTCTCTTTAAGTCAGTGTAATGGCTTCAAAAATAATTTAACGGTAGATTTAAGTGAGTGGCAGAATGCATCAAATACATTTTACTGTGGGAGACTTCCCCCAGCCCCCAGATGTGGATGGTACTAAACCAAACGCTAAGGAATCCCAGCTCTTTGTACATTTCACTTGATGGTTTGGGTCATTAACATAAATAGCAATTACCTAATACAAACTGAAGCAGTGCTGGGAAAGGTTTTTTATAGTTGTTATTACGGGTGCAGTACAATCTCAGTACAAAAATCATGGAATTAGTATTTTTTTCATAGTCTCAGCAGCAGACTTGAGAGTTGCAGAGGTGATGTTTGTGTAGCGTTAGTGTGCTAGCTCCTAGCTGCAGTATTTTCAGTGGCTGGCTGTTAAAACATTTATCTACCAAAAAAGAGCTTTTAAACTTAATTTGCATTCTGGTTAACAGTCAGCTTCACAGTGTTTGCCTTATGTGGATGAAAGACTGCAAACAACAGTAGCCAAACCAAAAGGCTGAACCAAGTGCAGATTTCAACACAGACTTCAAGAAGACAATGTTTTCAGTATATTTAGTAACTCAAGACTATTTAGGGAAGTACTATAGCCTGTGTTGGTCTGGAGGTCAAACCAGATGATCAAAATGTTTTCTCTGACCTTACAATACAGGAATCTATATACAGCATAATCAGTTTTGTTAGCAATTTTAGATGCCTGTCTGTAGACTTGAGAGAGACAATGAAAGTTCAGGCTTTTGCTGAAAATTGATTGACAGAAAATGACGAGACAGTCTAAGTAAAAGCAAAAACTGAGACTGATCTCTAACAACTTAGCTCAAGGATGGAGCATAGCTACTTAAGATCACAGACAGGCTTGATGTCATCATACCATGATGAAAGGCTCCTTTTGATTTCAGTGGAATGTGGCTGAAGCTTGTAAGATGTAAGCCCTAATAAACACTTAGACATCATGTGATTAGAAAACATAGGCAACTAACAAAGTCTATACTAATGAACTGAGAAAGCTCGTCTACCCAACAGATAAGAGTAAAAACTGGTTTCCTGGAAGGTGACAGAGAATCAGAGAATCAGGTGCTTATTGCACTATCAAATAAAATATGCAATGTACTTTTGTAGTTGGATTTTTCTACTCTCAGATAATTTCTGCTTCACAGCATGTCTGTTTTCAGAGCTTGAAAAGTTTACATAACCTGTCATGACACAGACAGGGTTTTACAGAGGCATTATATTTTCCTAAAGCTATGCTGGAAAAAAAGACCCATATAAGAAAAATTAAATAGTAAAAGTTTGTGCAGATATATAGCCGACCATAGAAATAATGATATGATAGCAGCAGTAAACTGTGTTCCCCAGCAGATCTGAAAGCATAGAGCTTTTTTGTTGTCTGATCTGTTAGAAATAATGAGAAATGGGAAAAAAGGATTGCTGGAGAATTTTGTGGTCTAATTTTTCTGGATTAGTAGCCTGTCCCTGGAAGTTAACAGGTTCATTTAACTTCTGTTGTCTTCACAAACGTATCAGCAACTCTAGCAGTTATTCACTATTGAATGTGAATAGCAGTATAAACACTTTGGATATAGTTATTACCTCCACTTCCCCTTAATTTCTAAGAAACAAATTGCTTTGTAAAATAAAAGCTCAACTTCATAAAACATTAATAAATGTTTGAGATCTGCAGGTGGTTAAGTATGTTGCTGAACTAAGACCTAATTGGGCTAATAATTGTCGAAGTTCTGTGTCATCAGTGACTTCAATTAAGTAATTGGGCTAATAATTGTCAAAGTTCTGTGTCATCAGTGACTTCAATTAAAGACACTTCAGAGTCAGTATAAAGTAAGACAGCACGTTGAAGCTGTACTGCAGTAGGACACTGCTGTATCAAACAAGCTGGAAAACTTGGCTGGTCTGAGCAGCTTGTTTTTAATAGTTGGCTTGTGAAAGAGACACAAAAGCAAACTCTTGGTGCCAAGAGACTAAAAGAGCTAATGTATGGTATTTCTGCTGTGTGTACGGAGATGAACGTAAAGAAAAACTATGACCTGAAAGATCTAGAGTATCAAAAATACATGCCAGAGTTGGACAAATTTATGTTTCAAACTCAAGAAAATAAAATAACCATCTTAGAGACTGAAATCTCAGCAATAAACCTATGGATTTCCTTTTCTAGGAGATCAGTTAATACTTTCAGATGCATAGGAGATGGATAGACGAACAATTTTCAAGAGGAGTAAAAGACCTGCTGTGGTTCAAAGTGAACAGAAAGGAAAATGAGAAAGGTTATTCACCCTCACCATCTTGTCATGGCTTAGATTTTGTTTCTGAACAAAAACAAAAATGGATGAGTAAGCCCAGATAATATGGACTTGGTATTGTTCTTTTAAAGGTCCACAGAACACAACAGTGAACTTGAAATCAGGGGTTGGAAAATTAATCTTAAAATCTTTGATCATCCTTGACCTAATATTAATAAGAAATGTTTTTACTGCAGACTGGTTTTTTGTGTTACTGGGCAATCTTTGTATCCTAAATTATAACCTATAAGTCCAATATTGATATACTTAATAAAATATACTTAACCTCTAGTACAAATTGGATTTTAAGCTGTAAAGGAATGAACACAAATAAGAACTTTGGCTTTGTGAGGTTGCTTGTTCAGGTCCAAAATAATAACTGAATGAAAAACCACATTGTTCCTTCTTATATTTTTCTCCTCTCTAGAGATTTCAAAAACACCCTACAAAAGCACAGTAAAGACTTTTAAATAAGAAAAATATTTTTATTTTCTTTATTTGAGCAAGTGGTGAGAAAATTGCTCACTTAAGATGTTCTCAAACTGCTTCTTTGCCTCTCAGCAAGCTAATGCTTGATATTACTCATTCACTTAGAGACCTGCAGCTTTTCAGTAAGAGTAAAGATTTGCAGTAATATATTTATTTTTACTGTACATCTATGATTACTACATTTTTTTCCTGATAGTACCTAGAGGGGTGGAGTTAAATGAATCTGCTCTTTCCAAATCTGTTTAGAAAACAATTCTACTTATTCTTGCCTTTCTTAGAAAAACAATGTCCTTACTAATGCTTCAGAAATTATTTAGGCTTTTGTGTTAGCTGTCTGTGTTCATGTTTTGCTATCCTGGCATCTAAGTACAGATTTTTATAAAGGTCGAAGTGTAAACTATCATACTGTGTCAAAATAGTAAAATAGTTGATGTGACAAACAGTTATACAGTTTCAGATGAGGAACAAACTAGGAGCCAATGAAATCTTAAATAATAAACTGCTTATTTCCAGTGTTGCATTGTGAAAATGTTTTCCACTTTTAATGTACTCCATTCTCTCATTCTGTCTTTGCAACTGAAGACCTCAAAACAGTTTACCAAAAGTTAAACCCAGTGCCATTGCTTCATGTCAAGCAATTATTAAACCTGCTTGCAGATGAATGGGTAAGTCTGGATGGATAAGTCTAGATTTGAGAAACTTTCTCTAGGCCATGCCATGTCTCAGAATCACAGCCAGCAGGAGAACATGAATCCTGAGTATTAATCACATTTCATCTATTAGCCGATATATTTTGTGCCAGGTTCCAATACTATTAACAAATACACTGGCACAGCAGTTGGATACCCTTTTTGATCATGCAATTACACTTTGAAATTTTAAGTGCCAATGCTACATTGCTGTGTTTCAGTTTTGAGCAGCATAATACCACCGCTGCTCCATCATGAAAAAGGAGTTGCATGACTGTGGGAGTCCCATGTCAGTCTTAATCTTCCACTGTGTCTGTCTCATTTCAGCTCACCTGCAGTTCATTTGTTAACATCCCCGTGGTCCTGTGTGGCGTATCAGGACAGCATACCGTCAAGCTGATGAGAGGAATGAGTTTTCATAATCCTATCAATCACTGTTCTTGTTTTGACCTCTCACATCTTGCTGAACAGGTGACCTGCTAAGCAGGCTCAAGACTAGCTGTGGCCAATGTGCAGCTGTTTTTTGTAGATAAAGCCAATGTAACAAATCAGACTACAGCCATAGACAAATACTGACAAGGCATGTTTAAAGGAGCATCTCTTACTGACATTAAACAATTATTTTTGACACTGAAGGAGACATTGACTACAGTGGCAAGACTTGCATTTAGTGTATACTGATTCTGAAGGATGGCTGGAAAACATGTACCATGCAGTCTTATTTTTTTTATTGCCAGTGATTATGTACAAATCTTTCCATTTTGTATTTTCTTTGCGAAGCAAACAGAAGGATGCATGAGCTACGAGATAATGAAGCACAGTGTGCTGTTTCAAATCTTTGCTTTTGTAACACTAACAGAGATGGGGAGAAACAGACACAAGCATTTTTTTGTTATTTGGGTGTTTGCATGTCATTCAAACAAGATAGTGACACAGTGAATGTATCAAAAGAGCAAATCAGTTGATTGTGCCGTATTGATATATTTCCATTTCAGAACTGAATCACACGAGGTGGTAGTATCTTATTACAGATTAAGTAGCCTATCTGGGAAAGGCAGAATGATGGCAAAAATTCACATACTGAAAGTCTTGTTTAAGCTCAAGGAAAAAGAAAAAATGTCTTCTTTCAAATACCAGTTTTCACCCAGCTGATGTCTGTAGCTGGTAAAGGCAGCTATTGCAGTTATTCTCATAGTATGTTCCTCTTCTCAGCATTCTTGTGAGGACAGAGCGTAATAAAATGATTGCTTTCTTGTACAAACGGCTACCTTTTTTTTTCCCCCCCCACAGCAGGGGTGCTAGCGAGGCTTGAGAAAGCAACAGCTGGAAAAAAACTGATGCAGGCATCATCTTGATGCATTAATTCAACCACCTTCAGTGAATACGCAGAAAGCTAACAAGATACACAAGTGCTGCTGATGTTTGATCTTAAGTAGACAGAGAATGAGTAAACTCCCAGCACTAAATAGTGGCAGTGATGTGCTGGTAATGCAATCTTCTCAGGAATGTCTTTATATGCTTCTAAGTCGATTGAGTGGGGAAAGTCTGCCTGTAAAAATCAATTAGGTGATGACTAAGATCTACAGCATAAAATAAAACTACAACTGATTCTCACTTCACTAAATTGAATGGCAGAGTCAAATCCTTTTTTGACTAGCCCTTCTATGACAGTTTTTAGAAATGCCATGCAGGATCCAGTCTGTAATCCAGTGTACCCAATATCTGCTATTTCAGAGAAAAGTGCACAAAACTTCATGACAGACAAGTAGGGCTTTGTAAAGTTGCATAAGGGGGATAGTCTGCAGTGAGAGTTCAAGCTTGTGAATGTCTTTTCAAAATAATAAATGTCAAATAAGTGGGCTATTTTCATTAATAAATATTATTTTAGGTAATTTCACTAGTGAAATAATTAGACTGTTATTGGTGAGGTTCTTGGGAGAAGTACCTTTAAATGCCACAGGAACTGAATGCCAAAATCCAAATTACAAAGTACAATTACTCTCTGTAGGGCCAGTTTCCAGTTTCTCTTGCGGGTTAAGGTTTTCGTACAGGGAGCAGAATGGCAGTCAGGACTGCACAGAACCGGTCTATTAGGGCTTTTCATTGTCAGAGCACTTCAAACCCTTATCTAATAAAATGAAAAGACTGAAAGCTATAAGATAGAAACAAAAAGATGTTAAGAGATAAAAAGAAGCAGTTATTTCAAGCATAGTTAATGTTGTTTAGTGTACTGTCACATCAAGAGTGCAATAATTCTGTAGTTTCTACGTGAGAACAGGAAGACCTGGTTTCTCACTACTGTCTGACTGAGCTTTCAGCGCTAACTTTAAGTTTATTCCAAAGTAGCCAGAGCTGAACATCAATAGGTGGGAGTTCATAATTTAAAATGAATGTTTGTGCCATATGGATAGTTAAAATGCAATCTGACTTTTGCTGACATTTTGTAGTAATTTGTTTTGTGTGAGTTTATGTCATGAATTGAAACCACTGCTGCATGTCTTAAAAACAAACAGTATTAATGGCCCATTGCACCAGAAGAATGGCTTTTTCAATCCAAATGTTTGTGTGTTATAACTTACAAATTATTTCTTGGTCCAATAACTGGTAAAATATTACTTACTGTGTCTGCTGCAGCCACTCTTGACAACTCAAGCTGTTTAAGTTAAATGAAACAGACTCAATAATGAACCCTGTGACAGGGAGCATTTAAAAGTCCCTGAACTGGATTTTAATTTTAAAAGCAATAGCACTTGAGTATGTTGTGAATTGCCACTCTTTTGATTCTTCCCCTCCCACAAAATAGACGTTTGATGCAGAGTTCATGTTAATCCAGTTTCCTTGACATGAAGGGAGATATTCCTGGCATATTTCTTCCAGGGCCTGGAGCAGACCCTGCAGTTAAGTTATAAAACACCGTGAGGAAACATAAGCTGGTAGCAAGTTTGAGTGATCTTAAATTACGAATTGCAGCAATTCAGTGATGCTGCATAAGCAGCTGAGTTGTTCCTGCAACTGGTGGAGAGTGGAAGGGAAAGGGAGGAGAGAGAAGGAGCTCTGCAGTGTTCAGCAGCAGCAGATCACCATGCCACCACAACTGTCCTGCTGCCTTCCTCTGTTAATCATAAATTCGTCAGACAGTCATTCTGACCATGCAGCATAGCCCTTCTGGTAGCTATGTGACATAGCCTCGGTGTGGGACCCATGCATTAATGTCCCACAACCAGCCTGCTGCTGACGAGCAGCAGTTTGATGCTCCTTGTTGAACTGCCTAGTGTTAGATAATACATGTCATCCATCCTTGCCATGAGCTCAATAAATAGGTGAACTGAAGGACAGCAAACTGATTTGTTCAGTACGGTAAATCAAACGTGAACATTTCAACCCCTCTAGTGTTTATTAAATTATGTTGTTATGTGTGTTCATTCAGCAATTTGTGAATTATGTTGTTTTATCATAAACGCATTTTACCAAAGTTCATCACATAGTGACCCTTCTCCAGAAGTATGTTCTGAATTAATTGTGCTGTCATAGAGCCAATGGCAACTGCAATATCATACATCAGATCTTCTTTTTCTAATATAGCCCACAAAATTATTTTTTATGGGTTGTTGCTGTGTATTTCATAGAATCATAGAATAGTTTGGGTTGGAAGGGACCTCTAAAGCTCATCTAGTCTGACCCCCCTGCCGTGGGCAGGGACATCTTCAACTAGATCAGGTTGCTCAGAGCCCCGTCCAACCTGGCCTTGAATGTTTCCAGGGATGGGGCATCCACCACCTCCCTGGGCAACCTGGGCCAGTGCTTCACCACCCTCAGCGTAAAAAATTTCTTCCTTATATCTAGTCTAAATCTACCCCCCTTTAGTTTAAAGCCATTCCCCCTTGTGCTGTCACAACAGGTCCTGCTAAAAAGTCTGCCGCCGTCTTTTTTATAAGCCCCCTTTAAGTACTGCCAGGCTGCGATAAGGTCTCCCCGAAGAGAGGGAGAGATTTGCAAGAGAGATTTTCAATGTTAAAACCTCCCATGTTGAGATTTTTTCCCAAATTGTTTTTCATTTGTGTTTCTTGGCAATAAGGTTAAAATAAATGTTTTGCAATAATTTAACTTCTAGTTAATTATTCTGTAGCAGTGCTGGCATATTAGGCATAGAGAACTGTGGGACATTTACCTGATCTTTAATAACAAAAAGCGTCAGATCAAGAGCTCTAATCCCTACAGCTTTTAATTAACTAAACCTCACAATATCCTTGAAACAGGTGTTGAGTTATTATATGGATGTAATTTTTTTTCTTCTTATGGGTAGTAAAATGGAGAAACACACTGATTTGTATAGTTGCCTTGTCAGTCAAAGCTGGGTTCTGGTGGTCAAGCATACCGTCCACCGGCCACTTCTCCAAGTCCTGCACATTCTCTGCCTCTGGAAATAAACTCCTGTGCCCTATAAAATGATGTGCATGATTAAGTTCTTCACTGAGTTGATTTGAGGATTGATGCGAGAGCAAGAAACATAGGGAACAATAATGGGAATTTTTCAGAATCCACCCTGTTACTGCTTTTACCACTTCATGTGCTCATTCATGAAACAATTTGGAGTGTTCAGCTTTTTTATCTGCATTCAGACTTTTTAAATTATTTGTTACAGACATTCCTACAGATACAGGCAGTTTACACATGTTTCTTTTGATATGCGGACTTCGACGAGTGAAAGACCCTCTGTATTTAGTAGATGTATTTTCAGGTAGGTACCTGCTACTTGAATACCCTTGTTTTGTCCCTGGATTCAGATGCATTTCTTTTCATGTTTCTAAGTTTGGCATAAGCTGTTTTATTCATTGCAGAAAACTTCATCACATATTTACATTTAAAAAAAGAGATGCTCGTGTAACTATTGATCTGTTCAACACATGATTTCTGTACTGCGCCTTTTCCAGCCTGCTGGGAATAACAGAGCATTAAAATCAAAGCAATATTTGATGATTTTACTTGCTGGGAAAATTATTTTGCTGTTACATACAGTATTAATGGAAGACAAAAGAAGATTTCACCTACGTCAAAATAACTTTTTTATCTTACTGTCCTGTGGCTGTTACACTGATTTGCATGTGTGCTAATTAATATCATTGAAGTTACAAGCAAATATTGCCACCCATCGTTATGGCTCAACACTATAAACTAGGCTGAAGTTTTCTCCTAGTGACGTAGGTGAATGTTTTGCCAGGTTCTATTTGTGTCTGTAAAAGGTTCAGGTATTCCAAGTTGGAAATTTAGCCTCCACTATTCAGCTTTCTTTTATAAGCCTTAACCACCTTGTGACGCTTAGTAACAAATGTAGTTTATTAAAGTCAAGTAACTGGTTTTGTTCTATTCTGGTATTGAAAAAGCAGCAGATTTCTCTTGTGCATATAACTGAGTATTAATTGTAACAGTTGCAGTTGCTTCCACATGTTCCTTTACATAGGAAAAAATTCAAAACATTTTGTCTCAGTGGCCAGAGTCACTGCATTATATAGAGCATTGTTCTCTTGAGATGATTCAAAGTTAATATCTGAGCTTAGTTAAATAACCCTTGAATCATAAGAGATTGCATGAAGCAGAAATGCTAAGTACTAACTTTCAGATATGCTAATCATTTGAATTCTGAGGAGTACTGTGAGGGCTGAGCATGAAATCTGGTCCACATACAGTCTTTTAAGTAGTAAAACGATATTTGACTAATTCTTCTTTATTCATGCAGCTATTTACATTGATTTCAGAGAAAGAATTAAATTAAAATAAAAATTAATAATATGGATTAATAAAAAAGATGTTCCTCTTCTGTTTTAGATTGGCACAGAAGGGATCCCAGTGTCCATCTGGGCATCATTGGACCTGCAGTAAGTTGTTGTAATTTTTATTTTATTTGTTTGTTTATTCCTAAATACTTCTGTTTACTCGCATCTGAATATCACAATAATTCTTTCCAAACGGAACCTGAGTCAGAGGACTTCTAACTGTTACAGAGAGAAGAAGGTACAAACCTAGCAGTTGTAAAGGCTGTTCAACTGTGGAAGTGGAAGCGATTCCAGTGCTCGGACTTCCAAAGTTCGGGGTTCTGCTCTTGGCTAAAAGGCCTCCTCACTCAGCATGTGCTCTGCGTTTGCATTGCAAGAGAGGAAGCAGCTAAGAGGGTTTTTCTAAGGGGGTATGCACTGAGATAGCCCAACTCTATTCAGTTGGGTTTTTATTAATGCAAACTTGTTACCAATAGCACTAAAAAGGTTTCCAGCAGCTGTAGATTTGTTTTATATATACTGATTTTTTTTGTTTAGAAGACTTGGGCTAGCTTTATAAAGGGCATTTGCAGCTGGATTACTATAATTTTATATCTAGCTCAAGCACATGACTTGATAATGCTATTAAAAAATATTATGGTCCCCTAGAACAAAACATTTAGTGTTTCATTTGACTACAGAAACAACTTCAGAAGATAAAAAGTATCAAAATATTTGGATTCTAATATTGGCTTCTGTTTTTATACCTGTGGCATAGTATAAAATTTTTTAGAGAATCAGAAAGTACTAAAAATGTGAACTCTTGCAAATAAAATATTAGAAATGCCTATTTCAATGTGAATAATTTATAAATGAACCTATCAAATATTTTGAAAGGCAACAGTTGCCATCTAGAAGAATTTTTTTAGCAGGTATTGTTAATGAGGATTTTTAATACTGTGAGGGTGATATCAGATGTTCATTATCCCTGTTCTTCCATCTTTTGTTCACGTGGAGGATCGCGTCTTTGTTCCATTCCATTTAGATTTTGATGCCATTTCTGGTAGTTTCAATTCATACACAATTAACAGTTGTCAGCAGGTGCAAAATGATGTTAGGTTTCTGTCTGACACCAGACAGCAAGGACAGGGCTTGAGCTGACAAATAAAATTGGTGAAGTCTGTTTCACATTTCTAATCTGAGTGCACTAAAGCCCTGGGATACAGGTATCTGAGAGGGAAGGTGGGGTTGAATAAAATAAATAAAATCAGAAACTAAGTTGTTCTTACATGTCCACATCTCAGATTAAGCTTAGAGTTGGTATCATTCCTTCCAAACAAATTATATGTATTTTAGTAAAAGTGCTGCCCAATATTAATGTGAGATTTCATTTTTTCCCCCTAAGTCATAAGATCCTGTTTAACAAATGTGGAAGTTACAACTTCTAATTCTCTCTTTTCACAACAGGGTCAATCAGTTAAATGGCAGGTCTTCTGTGATTGCTAACTCTCTTTAGACAAAACGTACAGCTGGGTTGCCGTCTCAAAATGTTGTCATGAGTTTCTCAGCAATGGTTTGCTTTTCATGAAGCACCAGCTCCTGAAAGAGTTTAAAATCATTTAAAAACGTATTTCTCCCATAGTACTAAAATACCGCTAAAGGATGAAAATAAATTTCAGCTCTATTGGTATTTAGCTCTACTTTTCTTACTCATGTTACTTCTCAAACCACAAAATCTTAAGAAAATCAGTGCCATTATCTGTGAAGCAAGTCGTATTTATTGTGACTATTTTAAAAAAGCACATTAAGATTATATTAATTAACACTATAAAGAACAAAAGGCCCACACGCTCGTTTCTGCTTTGCTTCCATAAGATTATAGTCTTTTCCCTACATTTGCTATGCATGATTGTCTCAAATGGTGCAATCTAAGTAATATTGCAGGATTGGGTCCTGTATAATGTAAAATTTTTAGCATTTATCTCCTCTTCCACTTTTCCTTTTGTTCATTTCTGTAATGAAATTTGAAACAATGGCTAATTTTCAGCAGCTCTGTATGCCAAGAATAGAAGCATATGAAACTTTAAAAAAGGCTACAAAACTTGTGTCCAGCTGTTGGGTAACCTCTTGAAGCCCACTTTGTACTCTCTGCGTAATTCTTCACCGTTCTTGTAGACACTACAGAATATTGCTGTGTTTATAATGATACTGTTTTTCATTGACAGCTATTTTTCATCTGTCCGACTTCTTTCCATGCCCATTGAGACAGTTTTAGTTGAATATCTGCCTCCGCAGATGGAGGGACCTATCGGGTCACGTAGCCCATCTATTTATAAAAGATGGCTGTTAACCTACTGTATGTTTTCTGGACTAGTTCTAAAATGAAACAGCTGTTGGCACAACTAAACTAAGCAACTAGAGGAAGTCTAATAACCTGCTCCAGAACATCCTAGAGCACAATAATTAGGAAAATCAGATAGGAGACAAAGATACAATTTCAAATTCTTTACCCTGCTGAGGAATATGAAATTCTGCCAGCTACGTCCTGAATAAGTGTCCTACTCACTGAGATATTTTTTAAAAAGTAAGAGCTACTGCTACCATTAAGCTGACAACTCTTCTAAACCTTTGTTTGCTTGTTCTTCAAGAAAAACTCCCTGAAAATGAAACTTTTGTTAGAAATGTTGAAATGAGCTGTTCCAATTTTTCTTAAAAAGGTTCTGTATTTTTTTTTAGGCCTATTAGTTTTGTTAATTTAGATCCTAGTTGCTAAATTGTTTCAGCTGAATTAAAACTATATTTTTTACAAGTTGTTAATTGTCCCAAATTGCAGTAGTAGAGCTACAGGTTAAGCCAGAAGACAATTTCCTTAAGCATTTAGTATATGGAAAAGATGATGTAGGATGGCCGAGTTTAGTATGTTCACAAGGATCTTGTATTTCTGGTGCATTTGCTGCAGGCAAATTGTCTTGCAGACAACAGTTGTGTTTTCAGTTGTAGGGGAAGCTCAGTCTTGCTGAGCGTATTCAACAGTCGGTCAGATAAAAATTGTAATGTGGGGTCACCTGCTGCTGTGAATAACGCTGATTCCTTTCATAGTGATGCTGCCAAAACCTCACAAACCCGAGCAATTGAGCAAATTCTTCCTATCCGTATTGAATATGCTTGCAGGGCCACAGTAGTCCCAGCACTATAATGAAGATGTTTCTGGACCATTGCTTCTGTCTGAGTTAATTTTTATATGACAGCAATTTAATATAGTGTGTTTATAGAAGATTTCCTAGATTTTGATCGTGGTAGGCCCTGTGCTTAACAGGCACCTTCATCTTTGTGCAGCGTTTGATCTGTGACTTTCTGCACCGTCAAACGTGTCTCAGATGTTTCTTTGCCTGTCAGCAGAGTCGAACTTCCCGAATAGCATATCTGGTCCTGTTAGGTGTGGTTTCTTGCTGTGTGCTCCCTCCCCTTTCCATGTGTCACCGCATCTGTTCTGATAGAAACTGTTCATGCAACGCAAGCTGCCTTCCTCTGATCTCTGCTAAACTGATGAAATGTGCAGCTCTCTGAAGGCTCTTCCTCTGGATGGATGATTTTTTAACAGAAGATGATAGGTAACCGATGATCATATTTGCCTGCTACGTTGATAGGTAAAAAAATAAAATGTGGCAACAAACACTCTACCTGTGGAAGAACTGGATCATGGAGACGTTTTGGGTGGAAGTAACATCCTTTTCTTTTCAGTAGCTTTTTCTGAGACCGGGCTAGGTTGCTAGGCATCCTGCCATAGTCAGTTGGCTTTGGAAACATTCACATCTTTTAAGTGCATTTCCAACTTACTGAACAGCTTATGTTGTATCTAATTTCTGTTATATTGAGCCTGTGGTTAGATAACTGTGCCCCCTCAAGTTCCTAAATGTAGCTCAGGGGGATCACTTCTCTAAGTCATTGGTACACCCATCCTGAAAGTAATATTTTAACTGAATTCTCATATTCAGGCCAGGCTTCTTGGAATATCTACCAATAGAAGAATACAGCTTAAAGGATTGTTCTGTTTATGAGGCAGATGGCAATTTCTTGGCTTCCACAGAAGTAGATGGGATAGAAATTAATATCTTACAAATTTATGAGTCACAGGCTGTAGTTTTTCTCATCCTTCTAAAGGTAGAAAAGCCAAAGACCATATCCCACTGCTCATTAAATCACTTGCAAGTACTCCATTGATTTTAATGGAAACAGAGTATAGTTCCTCATGAGAGGAACTCAGCATCAAAATAGTACTTTGGGGGAAAAGCTGAAAAGATATTTATATAGAAATAGCAATTATGAAGTTCAGTATGACATATCCAAGGAACCTGTGACATGACATACTGGTTTAGTGTATGGATCTGTATCATATATTCTGTCGCCAGGATCAGGTAGTGCCTCAGGAAAGAGCACTTGATTTTCCCCCCTGCTGTTGCCAAAAATAGTTCCTTAAGCAGTTATGCAAGCCTTTTATTTCTTGCATTCAGTAGGAATTCATTCCTTAGTGCAAGAGTGATTCGCCTGAATCTTTTAATTTATGAAGCCCTGTTTTCATGAAATAATTAATCTTGTGTCCAGAGTACACAATCGTAGTTATAAAATAAATTCTGACTTTTTTCCAAAAGAGTTTTCTAAAATGCTTTTTGAGTGTTCTCTATCTCATGTGAAAAAAACCCCAAACCCAAAATATTAACATGCGTTAAAAAAAATAAGCCATGTTGTTCCCAGTACTTAAAACTGCACATGCTGTGCCAGCTATCATAAATTAATCTGATATAGTCAGTCATCTGTAATAAAAAAAGTCTATTTCTGTTCTTCATGTCTAGTTAAGGATTTCCAAGTTCTGTGTATTTCTTTTAATGATGTTAAATGAAAATAGCAGACATAGTTAAGCTTTGTAAATAAACCTGCTGGAGTTAATTGCCCAGCTTAGACAACTTTTTAATAACTCTAGCATGCCTTCATGTTAGACTATATTTTAGAATTTTGTGTTCACTAGTTTTCAAACAAATGTTTCTGTCAGCGCATAACACCTATCTAACTGTCTCAGTTTACATGCGGATTGCTTCTTGTGTTAACTACAGCCTGAAAAGTTCCTTTCCTTCCTCACATTGGTTACACCATACATAAGGGGACAGACAATTGCATGGCACATCAGTGCATTGTTCCTCACTTAGACAGTAAGTTGTCAAATCAGTCATTTGAATCATGTTAGCCTTAGCAGAGTCATCTGAAAACAGTCATTCATGTTAAATAGATCTAGCTCTAATTAGAACCTGCAGCCAGAGGGATGTCAGGGGAGAAGAAGTGGAACCTCCCCTTCTGACAGTAGCCCAAAGCTATCTGCATTAGAGTAGTCACGTAAAAGTTTAGAGTGGAGTAGTCAATTCGCGCTCTGCTGTACTGTGCACTCACCCCCCTAGCTGGATATTCTAAGTGTCTATCACTCACAAGAGCGCTTGTCTGAAGAGTCAAATGTAACTACAAGTTGTGGTATGATTTTAAAACTCAGCACATTCATGCATTTAAATATTTTAGTAAAAAATATGCTAAGATTTATTTTTCTTTTCTGGGTATTTCAAACATACGCTATAGTGCTGAAGTAGTGCCATATACCTGTGTGTATATTCCTTTCTAGGTTGATCCACTTTTTACAAGCGAAGTTAAGGAAAAAGTTAAAAGGTAAGAAGTTAATGTTGAGCCTTTTTTTTCTGCTCCAGATGAAAGCAGTTGGCTGACTAGCTTTTTAAATCGTGTGTAAATGCGCTTTTGTATATACAAATGAACATACATGCACAACTCTGTATGACTAACAAATGTGTACTGATTATGTGGCACATAACATTCTCAGACTAGGTATTCTACACATTTTAAGTTTTAGAATAACCAGTAGATCTCTTCATGTTTTGTGTTAAATCACATCTGATTTAGTGTGATTCATATTTATTATTCTTTTGGGTCTTTTCATTCTTTCTTTCATCCTGGCTTTTGCAGGATTTTGCATGCTTGCTGCTGGTGGGTAAATTAGGAGATGGACAAGATAACCCTGTATAGCTTTTTTCTGTCCCTAGTTTATATGCTTCCTGATTGAAGGATATAAATGTTAGAGAAACAAGATTTTTTGTGTGTGTCTGCAGAACCTAGAATTGTCTGACTTGAACAGAGCCACCATATTATGTCTGATTGATAATATCTGATAATAAAATCTGCATAAAATATGTGTTTTGCAGTTCCATTTTTGGAGCAAGAGATAATGTTTTTTGTTTTCTATGAGGTTATTCATGGAAAACATGACTCCTGTAATCATGCATTTATACTCCAGTTGATACAGTTACTTATCTCTACAGAAGCTGGATGTTACTGCACAATCAGAAAAGCAACGTTTAACAAAGTCTAGTTGACAGGGAGCTGGTCTTAATGTCAAATGCACTTGTGTTTCCATCTGGCTTAGTGATCGCATGTTGAGGTTAAAGAGGCAGGAGCAGGCTCATCAAGCAGAGGAGATGCTGGCTTTTCAAAAATGATCACCAGTCTTAAAGATCTCATTCACTTTATCTGAGACTGAACACCTAATTACCCTATTTTTCCACCCTTCACCCTTGATTTGATTGACCTTCGTTAATCTGAGGAAGATGAGGACAGTAGAAATGTAACCCTTCAGAACAGAAGAGTGCTTGTAATGAAAGAGGAAGCAGAAGAGATCTTTCAGAACCACATTCCATCCCCAAAAGCCAGCATCTGAAAAGTCAGCATCTCCTGCAGTTGACCATTCTGATGATCGCGCTCCATTTCCCTAAGTATTTAAACTGTATGTTTTTCATAAGTTTCTGCATGCATCCTCCTTATATTACACAAATTCTTTAAGGGAAAATTGCACCCCTATCAATTGAACTCGGCTCCTTTGTTTATGAGACTGATTGTGGTTAACAGAGCATGGTGTTAAGTGATCAACTATAAAACTTCAGAACAACAGACAATGAAGTGGCAGATAGTGTATACTGTATTGAGTTTATAACCGCATTGACAGATAGAAAGCTAACAAAAACATGGTAAAGTGGCTTGCCCATGGGCAGGCGATTGTTAACATCAGAATCATGCCTGAATTGCTCTGACCAACTTTCATCATTGCCGTAAGTTTTAGGAAGAATTGTTAGAGTACGTTCTTAGGAGGTGTCCTATTTGTGTGCATTTTATTTCTAGGGCACCTGGAGTACATTTATTACAGGAGGTGCCACAAGATGATCTTCATGCTGCTATGAAAAGGTGCTTTGCTGTGGTGAACAGCTCCATTTCAGAGGGGATGTCTGCTGCAATTCTGGAGGTAATCACATCTTAGTGGTAAGGTTTTTCAGTGAGGTTACAGTGAATCTGAAATTGCCTTTTATCACTGGAAATGTGTGTCAACATTTTATGTCCATGTTTCAAAGCTAGTGAAGACAAAACTAAAGTATTTCTTTTTGCAAGTGTTAGTAATTAAGGTTTTCTTCCCTTGAACTGACAGGTTTTTATGCTTTATCTATTTATTTTTTAAAGGACAGAATGTAATTTTATCAATCCTGTTAAATTAACAATACAGACCTGAGATGTAAGAATCATTCTGATTTATTGGGGTTGTCACTATTCTTGATTCAACATCTCCTTCCGTATAATGTTGCTAGAAAAGACTTTCATTTACTTTTATATCCTTTCAAAAAGCAATCTAAGAGCTGTATTTGGTTATTTAATTCTGAAGTGATTAATGAATGAATGACATGCTCAATTAATTTTTTTGCCATCAGTATTGAAAATTAATAACCAGGTTTATTTCGTACCTGTCAAAGTAGGGCACTGCTTAGTATCAAAGGCTTTCTGGGAAAAAATAAACGTGCTTAAAGTGGAAGTTCTTTGGGCAGACGCCTTTTACTATTCCAGTTTTTTTGGTGACTGCTGAATGGTGGTTCGTGATGATCTCAGAAGATCGCAGAAACTATTACATGATTTGTATTAATGAATCTCCTATTTCTGTTTCTAATGAGTAATCACATGTTGCATTTCCAGCATGCTTTTCTTCCACACACCTGCAAGTCCTTCATAAGTAAGAACTAAGTGAGCACTGTAAGAATTATGAAAGTTAGGTGATGGTAAGATAGCAAATGTGTATTTCCCTTCTAAAATGCCAATGCTCAGAGGTGGAAGCAGATGCTGTTTCACAGCAACAGTTTCTGTTTCTAATGAGTAATCACATGTTGCATTTCCAGCATGCTTTTCTTCCACACACCTGCAAGTCCTTCATAAGTAAGAACTAAGTGAGCACTGTAAGAATTATGAAAGTTAGGTGATGGTAAGATAGCAAATGTGTATTTCCCTTCTAAAATGCCAATGCTCAGAGGTGGAAGCAGATGCTGTTTCACAGCAACAGTAATCTATAAACAATAATTACTACAGACATTCCAAACTTACCAGTGTGGCAGGCTAGACAAATTTTGTATGTCTGGTAGTTGACATGAAATGGAGTGTACCAACACAGTACACAGCCACAGCTAAGTCAGTGACTCAGAGAAGTAGAAGTTAAGTAACTGTCACCTCCTCCTCACCAGTTACATGTTCCCTTCAGGACTACTCACATAACAGTTGACCAAAAACCAATATCTGATTTATTTCCTGAGAGTGTCAGTGAGTTGGGGGGGGAGAAAAAAGCAAACCAGAAAGACTGTTAAGAGACACAGCATCTGCAACAGAAGTGCAAGTGTGCTTGGCCTGATACAAATTGTTATGCAAACTCAGGACTGATGCGACAATTGGTATAGTTTTCCCCCAAATTTTCCCATCAGATTTGAGCAGTTAAAAGGCACTTTCCTTAGCTTTTATCTGGAGAGGGAGCAATCTTGTAAGTTCAGTGTCTTAACAAATATGTGGTAACTCAAAGCAAAAAGATAATGCCAGGTTACTTCAGAGGTAATGTTGAGCCTGCTTCAGGAATTACTGATTTTCGCTCTTCTCTTTTGAAGTTGCAATTCTGACAAGTTTTCAATCTGGTAACTATAAGACTAAATCAACAAGGAAAGTTTTTATTTGAGCTCTACTCTGTGTGACTGAACTATTAAGTTATCCTATCAGAGCTATTAAATAGTCAAATACCACCTCTAGTGGAAAGCTGTTCCTTTAAGTTTCCACTACACAGTTAATGTCGAGTAATTTATTCCCAATTCATACCCAAACCTGTCTAAAAAAAAAAACCAACCTCCAACAACTGTTCTTCTCACTGAAAATTACTACACGAACAGAATAGTAGATATTTCCTGTTATATTTCTCTTCTTTCTCTAAGGATTACAAGACTATCCTGGCAAAGAGCATTCTATGCAGGATGTCTTTATATACACTTGCAACATTAGCTTCCTCCATTTTGATGTTTTTCTTACATCAGAAAAAATTATGTATTATGATGAATCATCAAGAAGTATTCATTTTAATTTTTCATGCTGAATTTATTTTTTTATGTATGTATTTTTATACATATATAGTAGATTAGTTAGTATTACTTTTTTCTCTTACATGTAGCTGTGCATATCATGTCTTAGGCTAGTCTTATGATTGATACATTTAATTCTACTGAAGACACTACCTTTACTAAAACCAAAGTTAACCAACATTTAATCTACCTTTAAGTCTTAATCTGAGTTTAACAGCTAAATATGCTAAAATAAACTGACAATTGACCATAGTGGAAAAATTAAATTCTCTCTTCTAAGTGCAAGACCTGACCTATAGTAGGCTGTTAGCTATTTCCTTGTACATGATAACTTTTTCATAAAAAGAAGAGAAAAAGATCCTGCTCTCCTTTCTTCTGTTATTACATTGGTGGAATAATGTCAAACCTAATAGTCAGGTTTGGTTTGTGTTCATGCATAATCATGTGTTGAAGATAAAATGCAATTTCAAATATTCTGAAGTGGAATATTTCCTCCTGGAAAACCTATAACCATAGATGTCACCCACTTCTTTCCAGCAGCCTCAGTCCTATATTGCCTTGTTGTTGAATAGTGGAGGAAGGACAGCCTAATCTCTGAACTGATAACGCATAACTTGGAGTTTATCATGGAAGTCATGTAACGGATAAAAAGAGCTGGCACGCTTTCAGAAGCCTGGGCATGCTAGTTACAAGCAAATGAGTTACCAATTACAGGTGCAAACTGAAATCTTGCATTATAGGAAGGAAAGTCCAATAGACATGGCACGGGTGTTGTGAGACAACAGCTCCGGTCCCAGCTGAGTCAGGGTTTTCTACAAGCAGAATTAGGTCTTCAGTTGTCTTTTGAGAAACTATTTGAAGCTTGCCCTTTTTAGTACCTCAGACCTGTTTGAATTCTTCTTCTAAAGTTATAAGGGTTTTGGTATTGTTTGTCTGTTTACTAGACAAGTTGGACAGTGGGATTTGATGACATGCTTATAAAATATCCTACTGTAAAAATCTCTCTCTCAGAGGAAGTGTCAGTCTAATAAAGTCAAGTCCCTGCTTGAGATGGCCAGCAGTAGGAAGGGCCATCTGTTAAGATCTTGTTAAATTACTAAGGCAGAAAACTATGTATAAAAATCTTTGGTCCTAGGCTGGAGATGACATCGTGCTTGAATTTGGAAATGCAACTTTCGTTCTCTTGAACGTTCAAAATTTAACAAGGTCATGAATCTGTAAACAGTATTTTAGTATGAGATAAATATATAATAGATAAATGAGATAAATATGTAATAAAATCCATTTCAACCTGCCTTAAGGTATGAAAGAACTAGAAGCCATAACTAATTTAAATTGTCATCTAGTACTGATATCTCAGAGATTTTGCCTAACTGATCTATTTTTTTGTTTGGCATTTGAAGAAGAGAAAACAAGCATTACAGCAAGCATTTAAAATACATCTCTTCCTCAGAAAACTCAGGAGTTCTGCATGTTCCTGGGCATGTGATGGTGAAAAAGGCACTACTACTGGAAAATTTTATATGTTCTCTATATAGTTGGTAAGAAAAAGCTTTTGACTCCGGCACCATTTCATCAGAGTACTTTTTCTGTGCTCTCAAGAGTATTCCAACTGTTGTAAAAATAATTACATTGTTATGCTTTTACAAAAAAAAAGCCAATTAAAAAAAAACCATCATAGAAAAAAAAGATGGCCAGATTCTGTTCTGCCATAGGGCAAAATCCAGTCTTGGGCAACACGTGAAGTACAGGCCTAGTAGTTTGGAATATAAGCCATAGCAAACTATAAAAATAAAAAACTAAAAATGAAGGGATGTTGTAGAGCAGTAAAATTGAAGAGGGGCCCACAAAAAGATGCATAGGCTAGGAGGAAGAAAATGAGGGACAATCCAGAAGACAAAATAGTAAATAAAACCTGTATTTACTCTATAAGCCTTATAGTGCTGGTTAGAAATGCTTGTTGTGTAACATGCTTCCAAAGCTGAAATTTACACCCTGCATCCTTCTGAAACAGCATTAAAACACATTTGCAGTCAGAATAATGTAACAAAACAGATGGCCAATGGACTAAAATGTTATTTTATGCTGTTATTTGTGGAACCTAGGTCAGTAAATTATATATATTTTCAACAATGCAAATGATTCTTTTTACTGCTCAAAAATAGACTAAGTATCTAAATTAAATTCTAAGCCACTTCATGCAGTAATTATTTACAGCCCAATCCATTTGTTTAAGGCTAGCTGGTATAAAGCCAGCCCCTTATCTTATGTATTTGGCCATCTGTTCTGTCTTTCAGTAGCTATAATTCATTGGTACCTATGTGTTTTGGGACCTGAAAGTTTTCTTATGTAGCAGTTACTGCCCTCCAACTCGATGAGACAGAAGAAATGTCTTTCCCGTTAGAGTTCAGAAATTTTGGAAAATGAAATACGAACTTAGTGATCAACTTCAATGAGTCATCAGCTATGTAGCATTCAGAAACAGAAGTGAATGAACGTGTCTTGTGGCAAATTTTTTTTTTTTAAAATGTGCGCTACAGTTCAATCTAAACTGCAGCACAGCAATACTGTGCCAGCCTCAGCAATCACACCATTAGGTACAGTCCAGCACAGAACTGTCACAGGCCACTCACGTATTTGATGATCACTATTGATGTGCAGCCCAACGGCACAGCGTCCACTATTCGTTGCATCTGACATGCTCGAATCCAAACTCCTCTTTGTCTTCCAGGTAACTATAGTGGGGATAGCGGCACTTCCAACTGTCAGTCCTGGGGTGGTTGTGCTGTGTTTTGTGTGTTGTCTTCTTTCTGTCTTTCTTTCTTGCTTGCTTTCTCGCTTTCTCTTTTCTCTTCTTTTCTTTTCTCTTCTTTTCTTTTCTTTTCTTTTCTTTTCTTTTCTTTTCTTTTCTTTTCTTTTCTTTTCTTTTCTTTTCTTTTCTTTTCTTTTCTTTTCTTTTCTTTTCTTTTCTTTTCTTTTCTTTTCTTTTCTTTTCTTTTCTTTTCTTTTCTTTTCTTTTCTTTTCTTTTCTTTTCTTTTCTTTTCTTTTCTTTTCTTTTCTTTTCTTTTCTTTTCTTTTCTTTTCTTTTCTTTTCTTTTCTTTTCTTTTCTTTTCTTTTCTTTTCTTTTCTTTTCTTTTCTTTTCTTTTCTTTTTTCTTTTTTTCTTTTCTTTTCTTTTCTTTTCTTTTCTTTTCTTTTCTTTTCTTTTCTTTTCTTTTCTTTTCTTTTCTTTTCTTTTCTTTTCTTTTCTTTTCTTTTCTTTTCTTTTCTTTTCTTTTCTTTTCTTTTCTTTTCTTTTCTTTTCTTTTCTTTTCTTTTCTTTTCTTTTCTTTTCTTTTCTTTTCTTTTCTTTTCTTTTCTTTTCTTTTCTTTTCTTTTCTTTTCTTTTCTTTTCTTTTCTTTTCTTTTCTTTTCTTTTCTTTTCTTTTCTTTTCTTTTTCCCTTGAACGGACAATCACTTGTTTGGAAAGTAGCCAGACCTGAAATACTCTTACAGTTTTGTTTTTTAAAAGGAGAAATACAGAGAGGTGAGGAGAGGGCCTTAGGCAGGTGACAGTGCGCACTGACACTTCACTGCCACCGTCAAGCTCTTGATTTTCAATTCAGAAGTTCAAGTACAATACCTTCATTCCCTGTTCATTGAATGTGTTTGAATGAGATCAACAGCCAGCAGACTGAACACAAGGACATTTAAGCCTGTCAATAGGAGGGGCTGAAAAAGAGCTGAATCAGAAATTCTGTCTCTGAGATGTTGGTGCTTCTGTGAGAACCCCGTGTTAGGTCTATAGTTGGGTAATTAGAGCTATAAGGTCTATAGGTAATTAGAGCCAAAAGCGACTTCCTTGACCTGCAGATTCAAAACCTGCCAGGCAGAGTGGGGCACCGGTATCTCTCGTTTCCTGGGTGAACTTTGAAGTTCTATGAACTTTGCTGTACTGATAAGTAGATACTGTCATCGTATGTTTTTGTAAATCTACCCTTGGAAAACAGATTTGTTTTGTTTAACAGTGAAGTCAGAGCAAATGACAAAATAATTTGTGGATGACCAAAAACTGTATTTCCTCTCACCCAAATTACTTACTTTTATTTTAAAAAAAGCTGTATCTCAACAACTTTAGACACATAGGTAAATTCAGAAATCTGGTCTGTAGTTTTTATATTTCTCATTTATTTATTCTGGTTTGTGTTCACTTCATTAATCTGTTTGTCTGAATTACCTCCAGCTGATCCAGTAGTTTCTGATCTGAAGTGTAGAACAGGTTATTTCATTAAGGGTTGTTACTATTTTTAGAGCTAACTGCTGCAAAGCATATGTTCATGCCAGAAGGACTATAGAATTTCTTTGTCCAGAGAAAATTCATCTGCAGTGGTGATTTAAACAGTGTTTCTCTTGGATATTTTAAGCTATTAAGACATGTTGCTAAGTCACAGTAGTCCCTCACTGTTCAAAACATAATTGGTTCCGTACGTTATCAGCCAGGGTATTTTTGTCTTCAATTTTGTCCGAACTACAGAAAAGCATGGTTTTCTCCTTGGAGTTTTGTTTTCTTGCTATGTAGACTGAAGTAAAATTGCTCCCCATCCGGGAGCGAACTGACAGTAATTAAAAATGCATTCACCCTGAAGTGACAGGGAATCAGTATGAGACAGATTGAAGATTTGAGGGAGTGAATTTCTTTCTCTTGTTTGACACTGTGATAATTGTACAAGTTTTTCTGGGTTTACAGTCAGTGCATCTCAAGACTTCCAAATTCATCAATATTAATTAAAGTTTCAGATCAGAATATGCATGAATAACAGAGTTGAGTGGCCAGGGTTTCTTTCTCGTTTGACACTGTGATAATTGTACAATATGAGTTTTTCTGGGTTTACAGTCAGTGCATCTCAAGACTTCCAAATTCATCAATATTAATTAAAGTTTCAGATCAGAATATGCATGAATAACAGAGTTGAGTGGCCAGGGTTTGCACACTAGTTACTTCAAAATTGAAGCTGTATTTTTAAAAGTTGCCAGGTGTTAGGTCTCTTGGAAATGATTTACTAGCTTTGAACAGATGCTGTGCTGCATCTCTGCTCCTGATTCTGGAGGCAACCTGAAATGCTACGATGTTGAGACCCCACACTTCCTTTCCTTTTTTTATGTATATACATACATGCACACATACATATACATACAAATAAATGAATAAATACATCAAGCAACCAGCCCATAATTTATGTGGAATCAGATACTACTTCTTCAGATGTATTCCTTGGTCTCTGAGAAGTCCCATACCAATAGCTTTGTTGATAATACGTTTTGAAAGCATAATGTGTTCTGAAAGCATAACCTTGGTATAAGGTTATATATATATATATATCTATATCTCCTCACCTTGGTATAAGTTCAGTCAGAAGCTGCATCACTGCATACTTCCCTGCATTCCCTGAACGCTCAAAAGCTAAGACAGGCTATAGTAACAGATGCTGTCAAAAGAAAAACTCCTTCCAGAGTCCTACATGACCAGTAGGAATCAGAACTGAGGAGAAGGAGCCAAGTGATTTCCACGGTCACCTTCACCGTTGTTGAACTGCCCCCATCTCTCCAGTTCTGCACATTGTAGAAAGTCTGTGAAAAGTGTGTTTTAATGGAACAAGAGAACAAATACTTTGTTGGGGAGAACTGGCTTTTTGTGCTCTGAACTAATCTTCTTATCTATGCGCAATAACGGTAGGAGTTACAGTGACAACCTTTGATCTGAACCTTAATTTTATCCTCTTCAAGCCTGCCATGTCAGGAGCTTCCAATGGGAAACAAACTGCATACTTTGAGGTGGAAAAGAATAAAGGATGAAACAGCTATCCATTGACTTTCTGGATTGATTGCTTCGGATAGTATGCACAAAGCTACAAGACTAACAAAAATTATAAACAAAATATTTCATATAAGTTCCATATAGGAGATCACCTTAGACGTAATGTTTTTCAACTAAAAAGTTGGAGAGATGGGAAAGAAGTTTGGTTTGTTGCTGCTTCTTTTCATTTCAAAATTGTCATCATTAACTTATCAAAATCCCTGAATCCCAATAAACTGTTGTTTCCTTTCTTTATATTCCCCTAGGCAATGGATTTAGATATTCCAGTGCTGGCAAGGAACATTCTTGGGAATGCAGCAATAATAAAACATAAGGAAACAGGACTGCTATTTTCAGATCCCCAGGTAAGAAAACAACAAATCCTTAGACCTTTCCCTTCCAAAAGTTAGGTTTGTTTTCCATTACATGCTTATGCCTGTTTGGAAACTTGGCTTTTACTCTCAGCAGTTTTTCCCAGATTCTCCTAAACCTCTAGGTGTTAGACTGCCTTTCTTGAAGCTCTGCTGTTGTCTCACATTCACTTTGCAGTTCACTAAACTTTTACTAGGTGTCAGCCTTGCTGAATGCTTGTCTAGCCCGTGCTGCTTTAGAGCCTGCCATCTGAATGGGGCTCGGTTCTCATCAACTTGTTGCACTTCAGTTTTGAAGGTTCCATAAGCAAACCCTGGAAGAGATGCTATGCATATGTCGTATTTCCCTTCAAGTACTGACTCAAATATGAACTCATTTTAGACAAGCAGTAGCTAACCGAAAGAGAACTGTGAGCCTGAAGTTTTAGATAATACATTATCTATAATTTCTAGCAGTAAGTCTTAATATAAAGCATTATTAGGTCCAAGATATTGCTCGTTCAGAAAATAATTAATGACTAAAATTAAGTGAAGTGTTAGAATGGAGTTTCTGTGAAGATAAGCAAGAGTGGGGAGAGAGGGAACACTACCCATATTTAAATGCTGGAAATTTTCATTTCAGTATATTTTCCTGCATTATGGCTTTGCTGTTACATATTTGTATATGTTGTGGAAGATGACTTTCAGACACAGATTCCCTTAGTGTCTTTATCTAACTCAAAATTAAAAAAAACTTATTAGAATAGTCCATTTGATAATTTTGCAAAGTAGAAAATGTATCATATTTATTTACTTTGTGGAGTGTGTGATTAATGCATCCTATTAAGCTGTGTTTCAGGAAGGTGAGTTCTCTCAGTTAGTTTTGGAGGCTTTTTAAATAGAAAAATTCTTGCAGCTCACGGTTTGTTTGGTTTTTTTTTCCCCCCTGGAATATTCAACGTTATCAATGGTTTCTACAACAAAAATTCTTTTTAACTTCTGGAATTTATTTTGTTGCAGAAGGCTTCCCTCTTCTTGCAATATCCCTTGGAAATGGGGTACTTCCAGGCTAGTGGAGGCTGAGATGTAAAGCTATTTTGTAAAATTATTTGCAAAATTTTGTAAAATTCCCTGCAAAAAGCCCATTAACTTCCATATGCTTCTTCAAAACTTCAAGGATATATGATCATGTTGAACACTCAGACTGATGGCTCTCCTGATATTAATTCTGATACATTCTGTTGCTTCCCTCAACATGCCGGTTATATTTGGCTTGGAGTTCAAATACATTATTCATACCAGGCCCAATTAGCTTCATCATACATCCTTGTAAGAAGCCTCTTCTGTGATCTCCAAGCATCCTACATTCCAAGTGCTTATTTGGAATAAAAATAAAAATATGCTATATATTTCCTCACTTAAAGGGAAGTGCAATTTTAAGCACAGAAGTAGTCCCAGTGACATCAGTGACCCTGTACAAATGGCTAAGGACTTTCTTTTATATCAGAACCAGAGTCACAGGCTGTAAATATGTCTGGAACGCTATAATCTTAGTTTATATAAACCCCTTCTGCCTGAGCTCCTTTCTCTGCAACGTACTGTGCCGAAGACCAGAAACCCCCCTATTCTGCTGCTGCTTGTTGACCCCCTTCTTGCTGTTATTCTATCTCCGTAGTACGCAGAATCTCTTTTAAGTGAAGATGGTAACTTGCATTACCATATTAGCTATCATACTCCTAGGTGATATTTGTACTGGAATCACTAATGTTTGTGCAGTTACCTTATCTTAGAAAAGAAAGAAATATCCCTGCTTTCTCTCTAAAACAACAATTGTATCTCATTTAATAAAAGCCCTTTTATACTTCCATTGGTGTCAAGTAACGTATAAACTATCAAAGTTTGCAAATGGGTCAGGAAGATACTTGTTTGCAGGCTAATACTCTAATCCCACTGCAGAGTTGTTGAAAAACTTTGTTCTTGCAGAGATGAGCTCAGAATGCCAATCATCATCACTCATGGTTTCAAAGATAAAGTAACCATTTACTCTTGTTCCTTATCTCCCCAAACCATATCAAATACAGTTTTTAAACCACTGTACACAGTCTATCAGAGGATGAGAGTTATATTGGATCAAAGAAATGTGATTAAGTTAGAACACTTACAGTTTCAAGGTATTCCTCATATTGTTATTTTTGGAAGAAGGAATAGTCTGCCCATGGCACTTTGAATACTGCCTTAGAAGATTCAGTCTGACAATAGGGATGGGAAAACATATATTCTGGTAAGAAGTTTTCTGTTTTTTTGATACTCTGATTACTTTGACATCTTAAGTATCTGGTAAACTATTTTTCTGATGTAACCTCAATTGTTAGTTAGGGGAAATGCTTTCAGTCATACAGAGAGATTAGTATTGTATTCAGGTGCTTGGGAAAGTCTGTCTCTGTCTTGAAGAATCTGGGCCACCAAAGATTTTTAAGAAAATGTCAAAGAAATTCTCATTGCTAAGTTTAGTGGAGCCTATCTGGTTGTGATGATAGAGACTGTGTCATAGGTCAAGAGTAGAAAGCATTGCTTATTTTCAAGTTGTTACAGATCTGGGGAGGGAAAGCTTTAAAATACGGTTAGCTTAGATATGAGCAATTGTGTCTGGTCTGTGGACTATCTTATCCTTTGAAAGCTAAATTAGAGGGATATAAATTGACCATTACACAATGAGAATCATTTTAAACTGTGAATGCTGTTGGGTTTCTTCTTTTATTCTTGCTGAAAGTGAGCTTTTGTGGCTTACAGTAGGAAATTTTGTGCATAATTATAGTCATCATTAACCATTTGCACATAGGCTGAGGCTTCATGACTGGAAATAGCGAAAGCCTTGCCAGTCACGGAAGACAATACTCGGATGGAAACAGTTAATGTAAAAGTGAAAGCTATGAAACGTTTTGTCCTTGATACTATATCATCTGTGCACATTACTTTTAAATCATGGTTTGATCCTGCCACTACTTGAATTTATAAGTTTATGGAATATTTGACACTGAGTTAATGGACCTGAAATAAAAAAATAAATAAGAGATAAGAATAGCCAGTGGCTTTTGGGCAATAAATAACACAAAACCATGTTAAAAGGGTAGACACAAAGAGTTATTCAGCATCCTAAGTTTCAAAATTACCTGTTCAGCATCTGTAAAAGCTCACAGAAGGAGCTAAATAAACAGAAGGAGGTAAATAAACGTCAAAGCCAATAAGAGAGGGGCCAAGCATAACAGAGTTTGAGAGAGAGCAGGACCTAGAAAGACTCCTGTTAGCAGAGACAACTTTTGAAGTGGTAAGAGGGAAACGCAGCTCAGCTGAGTTCAGGCAGCAACATTGAAGGTACGTTGGGCTCCTCTGCCAAACATGGGTCAATGCCACTTCTACCAGGGCTTCAAGCCAGAATATAGCCGAAGTTTTTAGACTGTTGAACCTTCACACTGAATAGACTAATTTGCAATTTTTGGCAGTGCCAGCAATCACTGTTTATACTCCCCTAGAAATACTGGCCCATTGCCCTGTGAGGTACATAGATGTGCCAGCTAACTTCTGAGCTTTGTCTGCCACTAGGTAGATCTGTCGCTATTCTGAATTTTCATCTGGTGCTTGCCTTCCCTGGGGTGATTCTCTGTTGTTTAAGAATCATGTTCTTTTATCTGCTGAAGCTGATATGAAATGGTTTAATTGCAGACTTACTTTCATTATATAAATAATATATTAACCATGCATCTTCTTTTCATTATGCGTGAGCTGTGGCACTGGTGTAGTTCTCGTGGTAATTGAAGGAATATTAATTCTTTTTACTCAGCACACACATTTTCTATCTCCCAGATACCTGTACTTCTGGGTCTCTGCAAAATATTATACAGAATTTCTTTTAGATACTATGTAGAGAAGCTGACATTTTCTTTAAAGATGATTGGTCAATTTACCAGGAGAAAAATGTATTACAGATGTTGCTGTTGAAAAATGCCTGTGTTTGAAGTGAAGTACTACCCATAAAAAGGGCACGTGTAGTATCAGTTCTAGATGTACATAAGATGATCTTCTCCCCTGTTTTTTGTGGGATGTGGTTTACTGCTGAGGTTCAACTTTTACACTGTGTTTTTCTGTCACATATATAGCGTGACATACATTTCTGTATGTGAACAAAAGGCTTGTTAGAAATACGGATGTCCCCCAAGTAATAAGTTAGCATGCATATCACCTCCTTCATTTTGGCTGCTGAAGTGCATACCCTTATGTTTGATAATTGAAAAGTAGTTTGTGAATTTTGTCCCTCTTTCACCAAAAGTGAAGCTTACTTCACATCTACAACAAAATATGAGTGCACAAATATTTGTGCACATACCACTTGCACAAATACTTACAGCTGATAAAGAGACATGTCATCACACCGTAAGTAGTTTGTATATCATGGGCTTCTAGAAAAGAAAAATTAAATGCTCGATTTTCTGAAAGAGCTCCGAGTTCTGAATGTCTGCATAGTGCAAGTGGGAGCCCGTGCTTCAGACTTACCACAAAACTACAACTGAAATGCAAGTCAGGTGGAGTTAAGGGAGGCACCTGAAAAATGAAGTTATTGCTATCTGAAGCTGAGCATCCAAAACTGAAAACAAGCTAAGCCAGCTGCTCAAAGAGTATGAGGCAAAACCCAGATAAGTCATAGTGAATCTTCCCATTGGCTTCCAGTCAGATTGCAAGTCACTTGCAGGTGGTCACGTTTGATTAGTAGAAGAGGTAGGGATAAAGCTGAGAAGTCTTTATTCTCAATCTCCTGGTATTTTTCCATTTGCTATTTCTCCCTCCTGCAGTTTCTCAATTTTTATGTTTTGTAGTCAGTTTGGCATTTTCCTGAAATTATCCCCAGCATTAAGTATTGTAACTGTGAATAAGGATCTCATTTCTTCTATCATTTACATGTTTCCAAGTTTTTGTCCTCTATATCCACATTTTAAAGGAATGCTAATAGGACTACCTGTTAAGAAATGTTACGTTGCTGCTTCTGTTCTTAGGTAATTTACATAAATTATTTTTAAACATTAAATAAAATCCTTCACAGGAGCATAAAATTAAAGTTGGAATGTAGTTCAGTGTGAACAGTATTTATTACTGTGATTATACAGGCAATTGGATGAAGCCAGCGTAAGTCATTGGTGTGGTTTAACCCGGCAGGCAGCTAAACACCACACAGCCGTTCGCTCACTGCCCCCCGCAGTGGGATGAGGGAGGGAATCGGGGGAAAAAAAAGTAAAATTTATGGGTTGAGATAAAGACAGTTTAATAGGACAGAAAAGGAAGGGAAAATAATAATAATGATAAAAGAATATACAAAGCAAGTGATGCACAGTGCAATTGCTCACCACCCACCGACCGATGCCCAGCTAGTTCCCAAGCAGTGGTCACCGCCCCCCGGCCAACTCCCCCCAGTTTATGTACTGAGCATGACGTCACTGCTCAGCAACATCTAAACCATCAGTGTGTTATCACATTATTCTCATGCTAAATCCAAAGCACAGCACTGTACCAGCTACTAGGAAGAAAATTAACTCTATCCCAGCTGAAACCAGGACAGTCATGTAAGACTTTCCCACCTTCCCTGTTCTGTATTGTTGGCAGATACGGAGGAAGGAAAAGAACATGTCTCCAAAGTTGGAGTCACTGGCTGTATCTGCAGTGTGTGACAGACAGCTTCAGGGTACTCTCTAGACCAGACTCACCTGTCTTCTTTAGGGACAGTCTCACAAGCAGTCAGAAAAACTCTTCAGACCACGTGGGTCCCAAGTAAGGAACTGAACACACTAGATAAATTAGCACATACCTGAATGCAAGGTAGTTGTGGATGGAAAGCAGGCTGGATGCGAAGCATGTGGCCCTCGTGGCTATTGCAGAGGTCACTCTTTCAGTGACGTGTGGACAGAACAAAGATTACAAGCAGTACTGATTTTATGTAAAATAAGAGGTTGTTGTTAATATGCATGTATAAAAATCATCTTATTCTGTTACCTAGTTACAAACCTTTCCAACAGAACTGATGTGCATCTCTGACTATTTAAATTTCATGGCAGTGATGCATATATTGATAGTTTGTCTTGTCAGTGAGAGTCAAAGCAGTGATTATAACATGTTCAATGTGATTTCACATATCAGTGTTTCCCAGGCGTCACGTTATAGTTATGTATTATGCATAGCCATCACTTGCGTTACAACAGCAACACTGATTCTGTGGTAACCAAAGATTTTATATCTGTATATGTATTTATATACGCTGTGTACTTAGGTTTTCAGGTATAGTTTGCTAGTTAACCTAGTGTTGATATGAACCCTGGTCTTATTTGTGATATTTCCTTTCACAGCTGACAGATTGTGTAAATAATATATCTCCTTCTGCCATCCTTTTTGTCCCCATGTCCCTATGCACTTATCTTCACTACCAATTGTGTAGTAATGTATTATCTTAATTTTCCATTGACACAGTAGCTATCCGCTTTTCTGAGCTGAACCAAGACACTATTTTGCAAAGATCTGAGTACATTTGTAACCAAGCTGAAGTATTGGAAGTTGTCTCTTGATAGAAAATTAGACCAGCTGCTCAGAATAGATTAGTTCAGACATCAAGTCTCCTTTCACATGTTTGAAGTTTGCAGTTTCTCTTCCCTTGGACTAAATTAGAGTGGCAGAGAAGCAGGCAAAGGAATAGTTGTAATCTGCAAGGTCTAGTATTTTGCCCAGTAAAGTGAAAGGAAATTCATATATGGCTTTTTTGCAGAGCTTGCTGAGCCGACACTGCTGTATCTGTAACTGCCCAGATGCAACTACTCCAGAAGAGCTTGTTGCTGCATGCCTGCTCTTATCTTTATACTGTGACTATATTTATGTAGTGAGTTTTTTAGTCTTACCATAAAATTAACTAAAGATGTCACAGTAGCAATGAGATGTAAGTTTAGCTGAGCTGAGATCAAACAATCTGATGCCAGCTGTCCTCCATGCAGGAAACCAGGAGAATTATTTAATTTATAACCAGCCTGTTTTTCTAACACTTGGGTAGGCAAACAATTCTTGTGTCATTAAATTTGTTGCCCGTATTTGCCCTAATGGTCTTGGGATTGTCTTTTTTTTTAAATGTCTTAGTTGGTGGGCTGCGTAAAATAATATATAAAATAATTATTTATTGATCATTGTTTATAAATAAACTATGGTACTTGACCTTGAAAAATGACTTTGAACAGCTTCATGTATTGGCTCACAGTAGAAGCGCTTTACCAAAATAAAGATACGGGTACAAGGTATTTCAGTATCATCAGAACTTCAAGGAACTTTTAATTTATTATTTTCTTTATCTTTTTTAGGAGTTTGTTGTGCTCTCCGAGAGTTTGATGAATGACCCCATTATGGAAAGAGAAATTGTAACAAGGGCCAAAGACTACGTGAAGAAACATCATTCATGGGAAAGTGAAAGAAAAGCCTATCAGAACCTTGTCCTAAGACTCCAGTGAATTGCAGGACTACAGCTGATAGCCAGCAGTCTGTGTAGAGCACTTTAATGATGGATATGTAATTAGGTTTGGGTTTCTCTTGGTTTCTTTTTAGAAGAGATAGTAAGACATGCATTATTATTCTATTCAAACATACCAACATCACAGGAGTTGCCTGCTACTTCAAACTAATCAAATTTATCTGATTCAGCACACTGTCTCTAGTGTACCAATTCATCACAGACCAGTATCATTTTGTAAGATCACATAGGAGAAATATACCCCTTGAGCAGACACAAAATTTTTGTTGTTGTAAGGCCTCAAAGGGAGGATGGTTTCTTGTACACAGTGGAGCACTCCACCACATAGAGCTTACATCAAATGTTCTGATCATGTTGCATCCTAGCCAAACTGCAGTAGCAGTTTCCTTTCCAATTATACCAATCTGAATGTATTCAGGTACATGTGATGCACATATATGTTCATAAAGCCAAGATTAGTTATATATACAGAGTATGAAATTATTAACACGAAAGCTTTCTTAAGACTGAATGATCAACATGTCTATTGACTGCATAATGATCAGGGGGCCAAAAAGCAAACGGAGTGTTGATGCTTGGGGAGAGTGAGGGGTATAGGGCATGTTTTGTACTGCTCTCTAAGTACCTGAATTGCTTTCAGATAAGCTGATATGGCCAAACAGCCCTATGCCTGCATTTTCTCTTGGGTCCTGGGACTAGAGCAGGAAGGTTGGCACAGCACCCGACAGCCGGACCTGGCTTCAGATTCCAGAACTGCACAGTGCTGCCTGCAGCAGCAAGACGTGCGTGCAGGCAGAGACGATTTGTTACATAAACTACCTCTTAGTTAGCCAGTTTCTTTGGTACCTCTGTGATTTACTTATTTACTAAAAGATTTATGAGAGCTGTAAAAAGGGGTGAAGGACCGGGGGGAGGCATTTTCAATTTACTATGTATTTTGGTACTGTTCGTTCTCATTTGTGGCTTTCAGGATATATTGTAATATACTGCAGCAGGCTGTTTTAAAGTGAGACTTATCTGTGCTTGAAGTCCATACTAATCATTCCTGCCAGCCCAGTGATTATGGACATACCTTTGAATCCATAACTGGTCATCAAAGGACTTAACATTTATAGAAAAAAAAGAGGGTAATATTTTTAACTACTTGTTATGGGGAAACTCTGTTTATAGGCTTGATCCTGCCCCCATGAGAACCAGTGAGAAGTTTTCTATTGATTTGAATGATTGTTGTATCAGACTTTTCTTTGTAATAATGAAGTTCACTGTGTATTTTAAGCTTTCCTCTTTATTTTTGATGTTTTGCAACTGTTGGGACAGTAAACAAGAAAGTAATTTGAATGTCGTAAATTGACTTCTCCGAAACTTTCCCCCCCTTTTATTGTAACGGGCTTCTGCTCAGCATTGCCTTCGGTAACACAATCCCCAAGGGCAAAACTGGCCGGATTTCAAATACGAGGATTGCTACACTCCCTTTTGAGCACGTTTTTCCTTCAATAATTTCTGGTGTGTCCTTTGACGTGCTGGGACGTAAGTACATCTGCGCTAGTTCTCAGTTTAAAAGCCACCAGCCAACATCTGCCACTGAACAGTTTCTAAATCTGCAACTGAAGCAGCCTGTTGGGTTTTCCCTGCTGTCTCAGGAGCAGCTGTATTTCTTTGGACACCTCCGTTACCAGTGAGTAGTGAGGCCTCTCGTGCGATTGCAGTGTCTCTTTTCGTCACAGCAAACTATGTATTACAGGAGGGACCCCTAGAACACAGATTTTCAGCATGATGTATGTGGTATGGGACCTCTATAGGCAATAGGGACCATTTATAGCTAGCTGAGCCGACTGCAGGGAGTCCTGTTCTTCTCAAAACACCTTCTCATGGATCTCCTGTGCCGGTGTATCTCTGATAATCTGCTTGTTTGGCTTTGATCCTTAGCGCTCGGCCCACCCCCCCTTCCTATAGTATCGGTTGTCTTCTGAGAAATACAGATTATTAAAAACAAATGAACAAATACATAATGTGGGATAGAAGTCTAAGCATTGAGCTAATGGTAAATGATTAGTAATAGTAATGTTTAGAAAGCTTTTTCTAAAGCGTGATATATTTATTACTAAGCTTCAAGCAACTAAATACATTGATCTGGAGTTTGCGCTATTTCCAGCAAAACAAAACATGTTCAAATGACAAATTCTGCTACACCCTCAGAATGTAATTAACATACGATTTTTTGGGCTGTGTTTAATCTATAAATATGAAATCTGCATCTGGGAAACAGCATGCTCATTTGCATGTGATAACCATACCAGAAGCACAAACAACCCTTCTGCAATATATGCATTAAGAAAAAAAAGAAGAAAACAACCAAAATAGTGGTGAGATCAGCCCTCAGGACTGTTTTACAGTCATCAAACGAGGCAGCATTCATCAATCAAGGGCATTCAGCTTTGATATCATTTATCCCATGGGCTTGTGCTCTGCAACATGAAGCCTGTCTATAAAGGCTTAAAGGTTGGGGCACCTGCTAGGGAATTTCGTCACAATGAATTGCAATTGAATTTATGTTTTAAATTTCATCCAGTCTTATGTTCCAGGCCCATAAATATTCAATGAGTCTTGTAAGTCCTTGTAAAGAAAATACTAGACCCTATGCAAGCAATTTTAGGTATAATTATCTTTCCAGCAACTTCACTCAAATGATTTTATATTTAAGAATAATCCTTTTGTTGTCCTGCAGCCCTAATTACAGTATTTATCTTCCCCCTTCAAAGCCCCATTTCTTATCCTAGCAGCTTTTTAAGCAAGGCGCACCTCGATGAGATACAGATACAGCTCCAAAAATAGCACTTGTTCTGTTCGCAGGAAAAACCTGCACTGTGCATTTACCCCGCGGCTAATTCTGTATTTCAGGACCTTGAAATGTACTGTTAATTAATCCAATTACATACATTTTGCAATTAATTCTGCCATTGAATCCACAGGAACTGAATGAAAGCAGTGGACCTGTACAATGGGTACTACTATGCCATTTCCTTTCTTGGCACCATTACTTCAGAAGTGGAGACAATTTGGTAGTGTGTGGCAAAACCCAGCTAGAGCCTGTGGTGTGGGGAATGAGAGCTTCCTGAATTAGGATTTCGTTTTAATTAGCCCTAAAGCATACATGCTCCAATTTTTAGAGTTAGTTTCTACATTCCCATTACAGACTTACCCAGCGTATGCCCTAAGAACACTGATACTGAGTTAAGTCTTCCCATTTTTGTCTGCTCCCAGGCAAAAAGTTGCTGTTGGCTTAAACCAGCGAGGATTTACCAGCTCCCACCTGCGCAGGCTTGGCTCTGCTGCTCTCCCCAGCAAGTGGAGCCAGCGCGGCACTCCCCTCCTCTGCTTCTGCCCTGCCAGGGAGAGCATTAACCCGCAACTGGTCTTACCCCTTACAAAGGGTCTCAGTAGGGAGTAAAAGGGGATCTTCGCTTCCCAGGGCGAACACAAAACTTGTCAGACTCTTGTCCTTTGCCAACAGCGCAATCAGCAGCTGGCTCTGGACACCGGCCTTTGGAAAACAGATTGTACTGATCGGAACTGGCTTATCTCAGCAACAAGCAGAGCACCTTAGAGGTGGACTGTACACTGTGTCTGGAGGGAAATAATGTAGTCTGATAGAATTGGGGAAAGGATTTAGATATATATCTCTAAGGATTTCAAGAAAACAAAAGTCAAGCTTTTCTCTGTGGACTCATTACAGCTCATTTTAGAAATTTTAGAGTATTTCGGACTTCAGAAGGCATGAATGAAACAAAGAGCAGCGGGGGAAGGAACTGGAGTATGACTGTGGCTGTAAGGCGGTTGGTTAGCACGTTCTTTCAGTGTTTTAGAAAAGGCTGTATCTGGGGAGACTTGGCGCCAAAAAATAATTAGTGACATTGGCCTTTAGAGCATTAACATTTTAAATTCAGCTTTTGCACACGGCCAAAGTTGACTGTTACAATAGTTGTCAGGGATGCCAAGGTTTGCAGGACTTCTACATGTTCAGCCACGATCGCTTTGGTAGCTTGGCGGACGCAACGGCTTAATTCAGAGCCCTTTGGGGTGCCACTTGCAATCTAATGCTGACCATTGTGGTTTCAAGTTCTAACAGAACCTCAGAGCTCCAAATTAGCAAAAGGTGATCTCAGAGAAATTAGTTTTGATGTTTTGCCATTCACCTACTGGACATATCAGGACTTAAGGACAACCGTCAAAAGAAAATGTTAAATTATATATTGGAAGATTTAAAAGTATTTGTGTTCCTATATAATTTACCATCAACTTAGCCTGAATATAAAGCAATCCAAACGTCTGCAAATGCTACCTTTATGTTTAATGAATGCACAAGTATTCGGTCTTCTTTTTCATCATACTTTCTCCTGTCTATTGGGCTCATAACCCGTTCTGTCCCTTTCTCCCCTCAGTCTTTTTTGGTCAAGAACCGTTCCACATGAAAATAAAGAAACAGTTTTGTCAAAGGCTTGTCAGAGGAGATGGGTGCTTCCATGTGGAAATCAATCATTTAATGGCTCAGTGGGATCTGAGCATTTTTTTTCATTGTTTTCCAAAGTAATTTCATCACTCCAGAATTTATTTCACTTCCACCCTCTGTCTGTTTGGTCCAAGCCCAGTTGCTTTAATGTTTGAAACTTAAACCCCATATAAGAGCAGGTCTCTACAGCCTGAGCTGCAATTGCTTGGTATCATCTCCTTCCACGTGTCCCAGTATTCCTAGATGCCACGGGTACCTTTAATTCTGCCTGACGTAGCCAAAGGAAAGTCTTGATCTTCCAAAGTCTTAATTGCATTTAGAATTTTGGAGTAAAGGATCTACTATTAAAAAAAAAGAGTTATGGTCACCAATATAAGAGCAAACTGTACGATAAAACCAGGATTTCTAATTTTTTAAAAACAATTACATTTTCTAAAGGGGGTGGATAATTTTTATGTGCAATTTAATCATCTTTGAATGAACTGTATTTTCATCGAGTAACTATTTCTTGTCATTCCTATGACATCTAATTTTAGGTATTAAATTTTGAGGGTACTTGAAATCTCTCATCCTTTCCAAAAATGTAGGCCAGCATTTGTTTTGTCCAGTGCCTGAACAATGATTTTAGAAATTCATTTCCCCTAGAGCATTGCCATTAAGCTAATTTAAAATATTTGTTTAAAATTAAACAATACATTTTAATAAGAACAGCAGAGAACATCTGGTTACTGAGGAATCACAGTTGCGAACACCTGACCTGAAACAGTATTTAAAGCACCCCTACAGCACCCTTTAACCCTTCCTACTCCAGAAGCAAGTCATAGAATCATAGAATAGAATCA